TGGCAACAGTCCTCATTCAGAACAAAGATGGCATTGATCTTCAACAGCTGGTCAAGGAGGTTGAATGGCTGAAGAGACAGACAGCTAACTTAGGTGGTTATGTGGATTGGCCAGGTAATTACAGAAACTCTGAAACAGTGGTCTTGGATTTGAATGACTGCCTGAACCAAAAACCACCTTTTAGCTATTTCTAACTGATATGATATTTAGTTATAAGTAAAGCATTTTTAGAGCTAAAAGTAAAAATGTTTTACACTTAGGGTCTATTCCCACAACTTTAGATCGATCTATCACCGCGGGGAGTCTCACCAGACTACCATCAGATAATCCCCCTTAAGTGTCCATCCCCGCCCACTACAAGCCGTAAGGGGCAATTAACTTTCGTGTCCGCCTGGCTGACAGCTATTCAGCGCGAACCCCCAGGGAGTTAGGTCGATCCAAAGTAGGTCGATCTAATCTATGGAAATGGGGTGTTAGACTTAAAGAAACCATATCAAAAGACAAAGAGAAGAAATAATATAAAAATGATATAAAATATAAAAATAAGGATGATGAATTAGGTTTTATCATGACAGAAACACTCAAATAATTTTTCCAATCTTTTAGGCAATGAAAAACCAGAGATGGTGATAAGAGCAAGGCTGGAACTTCACAAACACATCCTTGATATATCAGATGAAGATTTTGTGGAGCTTAAGAACATCAAACCTCCCCCCAATGTGACCCCAGAGTTACGCCGAGATGGTGTAATATCCCAGGCAGCTTTGCAGGTGCTTTTGTCGTTGTACAGAAACCAGCTTCTCTATCTGTTTGTGAGGCCTGCCATGGTGACGCTTGCAGTGAATGGCTGTCTTCAGGAGACCATGTCAATGGGTAAGAGACAGGGTAGAAACGTTTACTTAATGGAAACCTTTTGAATTGAATAGTAGTAGCTTTAATTCTTTATTAGTCGTTTTAGGTACACTGTGAACTTCAAAATATTGTGTCCATTGTGGATGAATACTTTTGAAAAGAATTGTGTAAAATATATTAGTAAATTGACTGAACATCTTTAAATTAATTTTACAGATGAACTCTTTAAGAGATATGAATTTTTGGAACACCTATTCAGACATGAGTTTGTTTTCAAGCCAGGACAGACTAAAGAGGTATGTACTTTTAAGATGTATTAAAATGTTAAAAAAAATTTTTTAAAAACTGCACTATATTTTAAAAAAAAAAAAAAAAAAAAAAAAAAAAAAAAAAAAAAAAAAAAAGAAGAAGGAAGAAGCCTTTGGATTTTGTATAAATAATAGATCATTTTAATTACTTAGGAACTGTTAATAGATTATTTTCATCCAATTTGTTTCCTCAACAGGATTTTGACAAAGCTTTACTCAACCTGACTCATGGTGGTGGATTAGTTATTGTGGACAATCAAGTGCAGATCAAGAAGTCAACCAATAAATACACAACATTCCTTAGTCTTATGTTTGAACCCTTCCTACTAGCTTACTGGGTAAGAAAAAATTGTTATATATATATATTTCTTTTTGTTAAATTGGGGTTATCAAATGCAGATTAAATAATAAGGTGCAGGAACTCATCAAGAGAGATTCAGTTGTTTAAGCAACAGCAAAGAAAAGGGTAGTCTTATGAGATCAAACTTTCCTCTGCATTGTAATCTTTACTTGATACATTCAATTTTTTTTTGTTTATTGTGCTGTTAAACTTGATTAACTGTTTTTCTTGATAGACATTAAGACATTCTCTGCCAATAAAAAAGGATATTGTTATATCAGGTTTAATTTTGTGTTAAAAAGTATAATTATTAATTGTATTCACGATCCTCAGGTGCTCTGTAAACACCTCCTGTCATTGGGGTGTGATGTGAATGGCAAACCTCTGCCAAAGAAGCCCAAAGTGGTGTGCAAGGAGGCCCAGCAGTTGGCTGTGAGGTGGCTACAGGAGGGAAGCCTTAAGCATTATGAGGTGATGAACCTGGATATACTGGGCAATGGGTTGTTGTCAATGATCCACATGGGAGCTGTGGCCAAAGATAAAAGGTATTTTTTACAATGGAGGTATTTTTACAAATGGGTCTTTCACTTTGCCTCGCAATACAATGGAAAGGAAAAATTAAAGAAAAAATGTTTGGGGTTGTAATACACCATGATGATCTTGTTATTGTTTGAAAGCAGAAGATTTTAATGTAACTTATAGAGATTTTTATACAACTGTAATATACAAATAAACATGTGAGAACAGCTTTTTTTTTTTGCCTAATACCAGTTCTGAATGTGTTTCTTGCATGTCCATTCCATACTGTTTGTCACCATATTAAATCCTTATTTTTAGGAGTGGCGAAACATATGTATCACCCAATCAAGTGACAGTTTCCAGCATAAGTGAACAAATAGGTATGGTATTAGGGTACACTTTAAGAACAGTTCTTATTTAAATCAACTTATATCTTTTTTTCAGTTCTGAGCTTTAAGTAAAGACAATAAATAATGCATTGTGGGCCCTGGGCCTAAGTAAGTAATTATGTGTAACAGATTTCTTGCTGATATTACACAGGCCAGCAATTTGGATGGAGGGTGCAATTTTTTAAAAGTAGACCTTTTTACCCCTTTACCAGTAGTTGGCACCACTTTGGGGAAATGGCTTAGACCCAGTATGAACTTTTTTTGGTCAAAAGGGCAATTTTTTTTCAATCCACCGTCCTATGGGCCTGTATTAATTTTCATGAGCTAAACTGTAGAATATGTGTTATTCAAGTCGTTCATATAATATTTCAGGCAGATACATTGAACTCCCTGTTGTGCCAGATCCAAGATTCAACAGCACACCAAACTTCAGTTCACAGTCTAAAGATAAAGTTACTGTGCCAGCAAAACTTTGAAGCATCTTTTTGAAAGAAATTGTCAAAAATAAGTGTCATAAGAACTGTGAATTTCTGCGTAAAATTGTAACAGAGTAAACTTTTTGCCCATACACAAAAATGTGCTATGTTGTACATATATATATATAAATTGCTTCCTTTTTGAATTCTAAAGTTGTTCATGTAGCGTGCATTAAGGCAATGAACTCATAAAATTAATTATCATGTTAAATTATTATCCACATAAAATTTCTGGAGTAATCTGATGTACTTTGAGCCAGCTTAGTATTTTTATGGCTTAAGTGTACATTTAGTCTTGATTAAATTTGTAGTAAAAACTGAAGCAGTTCATCACTCATTTACTATTTAATTTGTTTGTAAAGTGCAATGTCTTAGTAACTTGGCTCAAGTGCTTTTTTATCACTTGAATTATTAAGTCAACCCATGAGCTTTAATTACATGTAATAGAGTTATTTTGTATGATGAACTAGTCTTATGCTTGGTGCAAGTAAATGAATAGAAGTCATGTCTTTTAAAACTGTTACATAATTTTAATATCATCAAATAAATGATATCCTGCTTACTGTTACTGCTGTTATATGGAGATGTTTGTTATGAATATTACAGACGTATAATTAGCCGACTTGAGCAGTTGTCATCAAGCCTGATTTTACAGATGCCTTGTAAATTTATACACTGTTAATTTTGGGATTCAATATTTTAAAGAACAATTTTAACTCTCATGCTGATCTTTGACACTATTAAGAATCTATTATGCATATGTTCAACCAAATTCACATTAAAATCATCAGGAACAGCATTATGCTTTTAACAGATGGTCATGCATTTCCAGTTCTACTAATACTATGTTTTCTCACAATAAATTTAGAATTTGAAGGGCATTCACTCCCAAAGTAGGTTCAGTTGAAATTGTAAACACCACTTTGGTTTAAAAGTTAGACCAGTTTTGGTATTCAAATATAGAGTTCTTTCCTGAAACTAGTCTAAAATCCATGTTTAAAAAGTTGTGTAGTATAAATTTAAAAAATACCTTATATTTCACACCACAATAAATGTAATATTTAACCTGGTTGATTTAAAATCTGTAATAAAGGCTTTACACAAGGAAATTCAACTGACCGTCAAACCAGTGGTATCTTCTTAGGCCTCAGTTTCCTTCTAATTAATCAACTAGGAAGTCGAGTGTTTGGTCTTAATCAATACTTTAATGATACAATACAAAATAATCTTATAGGATACAATGCATTTACATAACTAATGGATAGAAATGGGTCCAACTCTAGTGCACAGCATTAATCAACAGCAAGTATACAGTAAACCCTCTAAAACATTCAAGAAAAAAAAAGATAACTCGAATTAAAGTGCCAGTTTTAGAGACTTTACCATAGCCTGGTGGTTTTTCCACACCCACTTCCAAAACAATGTTGTAAGATTCAACTTTTTTTTGTTCAATAATAATAATAATAATGATGATAATAATACACATGCTTTACACCAGCAGTAATAGCAGCAATGTACATATTTCTACAATATTCTTACAAGTTGTCTCATCACCATTTTCCTCGTTTATTTTTTTCTTATCAAATCACTCCGGCAGTCTCCATTGTCAACTGCTCCATTATATATATCTCCTGTCCTGTCTGGTCTAGTGGTGGTCTAGTTCTGTACAGTACAGTTAAGAAGTATAGGTAACATCACAAGATACACACAAGCCCAAACAACAGCTACCTAATGAGATGCTGTTCACATCAGCAGGAGCTGGGATAGTAAAAGTACAACAGTCAAAGCAAAGAGAAACAGATACTGCTTCTCCGAGGTCAGTATAGCAAAAAGCTGTAGAACATAATATTTCCTTTTAATTACATATTCGGGTTATTGATTTTATTGGCTTTTCCTTCACTTACTACTTTGCTAAGATAGCAGTGTGACATGTTAATCAATAATCACAACAAAAAACTTTTCCATTAAATGTCACCATTTTCAGTTATTTGACCGAAATAGGTCAGGGCTTCCATGTTGTGTTCANGGTCAGGGCTTCCATGTTATGTTCGCCCTCTGATAAAATATGGTGTATATTGGCTTTACACCCTCAAACTGAGTGTAAATAACATTAACATCAAACCTTCATTATTTATTACAATTAAGCATTGAGCACAACAGTTAATCTTTAAGATCCTGAAGTAGGCTCCATGTACGTGTACATTCACTGTTATCACGAGATGTTCATTTTGTTGCGTATAACAAAATCAATGCAATATTTTCCTGCATAACCATACATATTCCTGTATTACAAGTTAAAATCCACCTAACATGTAACTATTTCATTTATTTTCATGCAAAGTTGTGACATTTAAGCTAACATTTGTATTAGCCATCATTTTTTGCAATGAAAAATAAAAAGTGGGTGACTGACCTTTTTATGTAGCATAAATAGAATCAGCACATTGCATGATAGTTCAGAGATTCAACTTAAGACACTGGTTTTGGAGTATACAAACTAATCACACAATGTTTTTTTTCTTTGTTGTTTTTTTCTTTCTTTTTTTTACAGAGAAAAAAAAAGCTTCCACAAGTGGCACTGATCACACTTGCATGTGGATAACACACAACATTTATATTTGTTACATCGTGAAACCTTGAGCAACTGCCATAGTGAGGTGACACTTCCACAGCTCCTGGGCAATGTTGCCCATCATACATATGTGTGTATATATATATATTTATAAAGATATATGTATTCAAAAATGAACCGGATGTAGGCTCTGAAAAAAAGCTTGGTGTATGTTTTTCTCTTTCAATTTTGAAAAGATGCCATGGGTTCACCATAACCACTCATTTATGACACTGAAGTTGGTTAAAAAATCATACCACATTCCTGCAGACTAGGAACAATTGATCCCTAAGCAATCTCTATGCATTTATATATATATATTAGTTACTAGTGCTCAAGTTTAACATCCGTCATATGGTGAAGCTATCATCAAATTGGACATACCAGGTCTTTTCAACAGTGATAAACACAGACAGTGCAAAGTAATCCAGCAGAAACTGTCTGTGCACATGAATGTATGACTGGTTTTTCCTCATTAATGATTACAGTTAACATGTTTGAGTGTGTTTATATATATGTGTGTGTATAGTGTCTTGTCAGCAATCACAAATCAGCACAGTTTCTCCTTATATTGATAACATGTCCATTCAGCTGGCAAGCTTGGCTTTGTCTTTGAGTTCTAGTTTCTCTAGTTTCTTCCACAGCTCTTCTCTTTCTTTCTCTTTTTTCTTTTCTCTGAAAAATATCAAAGTAAATGCTAAATAATAATAAATAATAAAAAAGCACTAAAAAGGGACATTACATCACCTATATAATGTTTATGCAAGAAGATCAGAACATCAAGATTCATGGAAGTGATTCGAAATAATAATATCTTATATAAGCAAAAACTAAACTGAGGCAGCCATCTGCTTACACTTTCAGTCCAAAAATGTGAGATGCAACAAGTCATCAGGAGAGACAAAGGCCAACACAAATTAATTTCACCCAACTTCCCCAAGCATACATTGAAATCATCCAGAAAACTCTTTGACAAGGACACAAAAATATGCTTACTTTTGCCTGTCTGCTTTGTAATTTGATGTGAGTTCATCAAACAGTTTCCCATTCATCTCCATGAATGTTTTAAGGACATTGTAGACCAGTGCCACTATGGTTTGGTTCCAATGTTCTTTGGAAATCCGGTACAGTGCAGGAAACATAATAGGCATGATAATGTTGGAATTCTCCTCTATCAGGCTCATTAAGTATTCATTATTCCAGTAGTACAGTGCTCTCTCTGCCACCTAGAAAAAGAGATAAAACTTATATTGACAGTAGGCTAAATTGTGTAGGGTTACAAATAAGATGCATTGTACATAATAAGCTTCCTAGCTTTTTTATTTATTTATTTATTTATTTATTTATTTATTTGTGTGTGTGTGTCTGGGGGGGGGGGGGGTAGCTTCCTAAGCTTTCAGATATTATTCAAATGTTACAAATATTATGCACTTGCAAAACTATACAGTCACATAATGATAAAAAAGAATGTGGGCTTGACAAACTTGTCTATTTTAGCAGTTCTTCATTAGTATCATTTCCAGAGGGAAGATTCAAAATTGAGCATCTATTGTTTTACTTCTATTTTAGCTGTACCTGAAAATGTGGACTGGACACACATCTTGCAATCTGTTTGAACAGAGGTTCCTGAATTTTCTGAAACTGAGTAGGTTCAATGACGTCCAGTATCTCTTCAATTTCTCCAAGAAACATCACCTAGTGGTTAAAAAAAATTACATAAAATGCACATTTAAATGTAACTTTCACAAAAATATACACCATTATCAACTAATTTAAGATTACCATAAAATGACAAGATAAAAAATTTTTGATGGTTTCTACTTTAGTTAATTTATGTATCATTATTTTACACAAAAGATAGCTCACCTAATGTTTCAACAATAGAAAACTCCATCTTTACCTACTTAAATCAGCATTAATATTTTTTCAGCAACCATTATTTTCTCCAATCTATAATCAATCATGCTATCAATCATCAAGTTTATTTTATCTTCAAATAACAATCACTTACTTCTTTCTGGCTACATGTCTTCGGCCAAAATTTAAGCAATCCTCTGACAACCTAAAAATTCATCAAAGAAATAACATGTTAAAATAAACCATCCTGCTTGAATTGATTTTACTTTCATATTTTATATTTAGGATTGAGTTTTCTCCCAAAATGCATGGTTAATTTAATACTTCAGATTGATAATGTTTCAGAATGAGGATATCAATCACAGTTAAGTATTTTTTTCCTGAACCTGAATTACTGAAGCCCCGCTTCGATCAGAAGGGCCTCCAAGGTAACAATTAAGTCAAAATGATGATCTCATTACTGTTGAAACATGAATATTTATGACAGATCTACTTACTGGTTCTGTGAGTGTTGCATCCTTTTCTAGAAACTGTACAACACAGTAAGCTAGCTGGAATGCAAATAATAAAAAAACAGTAATAAGAATGGGTAATGTCTAACAAACAGCATACAAAACTCCAGGGATAGTTGCTAAAACTTTTTTTATAAAGAGGTATTGCTAAATGCATAAGTGGAATAAGATTGCAACATATCATAAATATGTTCGTCAATTTTCAAGGAAATACAAATTGGTTTAACAAGATAAACAAAATTAATAACATAAATATGGTTTGAACTTTTGAGGACACTCATGCTTCCTTTTCCCAAAAGAAGTATAAAATTACTGTAAGGACACAAATTTAATTTGAAGTGCCAGGAATCTACCTCACCTGTGCATGATAGAGACTAAGGGATTTGGCTTTGTGGAGTGGAATTAGGACCTTTGTTAAGAACTGTTTATGTTCTACTTTCAATGGTAATGCAAATCCATTGATTATGCTGCAAAAAGAAAATTGAATGTAAGATCACTGAACCTTGCATAATATCTTCATCATTTGTTACATGTTTACCAGTGTTGAAAAAAAAAATGAACATGTACATTAATAGATAAGAAAATAAAATAAAATTTCACAGACATAAACATACATTTTGAACAATCTTTCATTCAATGTCTATGTAAGGACAACAATTTCTATAGATTATAAATATCATCATAAGCAAATGCGCACCTGCTTCAGTAGATCATTATTTAATAATTCTTACCTGCCAAGAATCTCTAATAATTCTCCAACACCATTGAAGGATTCTGTCTCATAAATGAACCTAGAAATAAACAAAGGACATTAAATCATCAACCTTGCAATGGCTATTGAACATGAGACCCTTATCAAAACAGAGGTAATGTTCTGCAACGGCCTCCAATTACCAGAAGAAACGAACTACACAAACACATCTATGTATTCATAAAGCAATGTCGAGCTTCCTGGAAATTCCTGCTCCAACTATCCTTCCTGTGAGATAGCATCAAAGCTTGCACTTTAAACCTAAAAATTTGTTCCATGCTGCAAAAACATATCATTACTGACATGCTCAGATCTGTATGCTAGAACACAAAACAACCCTCAGGAGGGACTGATATTTTTGCATTTAATGAGCTTTCATTTCATGCTAGTGGTAATTAAACATGGAATGAAAAAAAAAAAAAGACATAAACAGAAATGCCTTATCCAATATAGTCTTCATGTTTCTTCAGTTAATATACTGAGGTTCACAGGTGTCAAGATAGTTATTTACAAAGAGTGGTAAGAATCAGACACAATGAAGGCATATCTGAAGCTGATTTTCTAAAACCCCCTTCAGTATACTTTATAACACAGCCCCAAAGGATTTGACATTTATAAAGTCATTTTCTGGGTAATGGCATTCAGGTCTAAAAGAAATAGTGTAAAATTTGATTACTAGAGAGTCAACGAATCTAATACTTTGCTTGTATCAATCAGATTTGTTATGCATCTGGGCAGCCATAATGATGTATAACAAGATGGGAAACAGAGTATATCGGATTACACTGAATCCTGAAGGATATTTCAATACTTACACGAATTGTGTACAAAAGCAATATGCATATGTATCACTTAAATTTGGAAAACAATGCCTCAAAGATAAATATATATAAATAAAATAAATGAATTTCCAAATGTTCAATCAAAGAGGTCTCCTCATTACGCTGAAAAATCTGATTTCTTTATTTTATACACCTACTAGGCTAAAACAACATAATAAAGTGTTATATTTCTATTGATTACTAAAACAACTTACCTCAGAAAAAAATTGTTGATTTGTTTCCTAATGAAAGCTCGGAGACCTAAGAATTTACCATATATCCGATGCAAGACTGTCTTGAGAAATTCCCTTTCTCTAGGGTCCTCACTGTCAAACAATTCTAGAAGCTGAAATTCAAAATAGTACATCTTTAATATTTCTTACTACATTCTGGAATTCTGCAAACTAACCTAAAAGATACTGGACAGTACATTTTGTCAACAGAGAAGCTGCAATGGCCAAGAAGCGAAGAACCTTTAAGACACTTCAATTGTGGTTATGTGTTTTTGTAACTATGATTTGTACACTGAAGGTCATGCCATTTAATTCTCCTGGGCTTGGAATTTAACAGACAAGGAAAAAAACCTGTGACGCAGTAAGTAGTATCTGATTATATTCATTAAAGCATTAAGTTTTGGAGAAAAAAATTGAATGTCAGGACACAACTTATTTTTGTATCCACCCCTTATGCATCAAATTCATATCTCATTTCATTTGGTTTCTTCCTCCTCATTTGGATTGCAGGGTTATTGATCAAATACCTGAATCAAACTCAAATCCATGAAGATCTAGCTTGGACTGTTTTGACTTGTGATTCTTCAAGACCTTCACTGCCCACTTGGGGTCAAATTTCACTTAATTTATTTAAAATTATTGTATCTGCAAGTCACCTACAAGTCTAGCTGCTACATTTTCTCTGAGGCCAGGGTTCCTGGTTCATAGAGACTAAATATTACAAAGACACATTAATGAACATAACAAAAGTCTTATCTAAATGACGGACTGGTTTTTACAGATCAGGATTTTTAGAATCATTTAGGAAAATCTGGGTCTAAAAAATTGCTCCATCATTCATGTATATCATGATAATTCCCCTTTCATCTATCAACAGATAAAAATAGTTTAATTATCCTTCTAATTGATTAAAATGACCTGTCCATCTCACATTTGCCTGTTTGGGGTATTATAGCAAACAAATTCAACTTTAACTATTTTAAGAGGAGCTTGTTATCTAAAATAAATAAATAAATAAAAACAATAATAATTATTATAATAAATAAAATATAAAAAAGCAAGCTCCTACGGGCCTCTATGTCATTTAGTTTACTTATTACTGTTACTAGTTGGGGAGATGAGTTTGCTATCATAATGCATTAACTCCAATTGAGGACTGGTGCAGTCCCATCATTAACCTCAGCTGAGTGAACTCACATTACAAGGCCTGGGGTCATACAAGCTGTTAACTCTATGATTGACTTGCACTAATTAATGCAAAGTAATTATCCTTACCTGCAGGACAAACTTTTGGTCAATATATTTCTTGGCCAAGCTGGGTTGGAAATCTGGTGATTCCAAGAACCGGAGGAAAAACTCATACACAAACTGGAGAAATGAGAAGATTACAATCAAAACAAATAGAATGTTCAACAGGAATTCTATCTCTTCTTTAATTCAACAAAAATATTATAGATATAGTGGGTCACTTTCATTAAATGAACTCAGAAAAGAGGAGGTTATATGTTATGCATAATAATCAAGCTTATCATGATCATCAAATTCAGCCTTGTAATAAGCTCTACAAGACACTACATTGCAAAGATGTTAGATAAGACATTAAAATTTAACATAATATTCCACACTTCAGCACACCACTGAGAATCATGCATTAACAATATTATCAGCCGCAATCATATTAGGCACTTTCTTTCAGTCTTTAACTCCACATTCCTATGCAATAATGCACTAGTTTATTTATGAATTTTACAGTCGCAGATGAATTTAGTCAAAGCATGCAGTTTAAGACATGTTCTATTACTCTGCTCAAACACACTCCATTACTAGTTTTTAATTTACTGCTCATTTCTCAAATCACATTTTAAGTCACATATGCACAAATTAAATTAAAATTAAAGAAAAAAGTCAACTTCTAAGTCAATCTTAATCATGTTTTAATGAGGAGGAAATGGAGGAAATCTTATTTGTTACAATGGCAGCATATCTTACAACCATCTGGGATCCCACACAAAAGACTGCACACTCACCAGTATCATTTTTTTAAGCAAACTATATCAGTTTTTTCAGCCTAGGAAATTACATAACAAATGAATGGCAAAGTGAACAAAAAAGTGTTAGCTCATCTTAATTTTTTTTTGTTTGTACTGAAAAAAAAAAGGGAAAAACAATCACACACTAGTACAAGCACAGCAAAATAGTATAGCATTAGATGTAAAAATCAAAAGAATTAGATGCACCCAAGTATCACATCCCCTGTTTTTTTAGATGACCCACACATTCTTCAAAAATCACGATTTTTTTCAAATATAAGCCAAACAGGTGACAAGGATATAAACAGTGAAATGCAAAGGATAGGTTTACAGAGGATTTCAAAATAAGGCACCCAGCACCAAAAGTAAATTGTACAAGAAGGCACATTCTACAATATGTAAATGATCATATAGTACTGCATAATCAGTGGTAGAAGCAGTCAACTAAAGTAAAATACATAAAAAGCAAGACAGACTTGCAGACATCAAGCAGAATCCCAGGCAGAATTCATTCCACTTAGAGATAATACTCTGTCAAAATTTTATATATATATATATATACATATGCATTCATGAGAACAACATAAAGATGCACAAGCAATAGCTTGAACAGATGTTTACTTCATGCATGTTTTATGTACTTCACCACTAAATGATCACGGAGTAAAGCTATGTAACCACTGACACCATAAAGCAGTAACCCTTGATAAGTATTCATTAATCAATCCTTTTTGACTTCATCCTTCAATTTCTTTGGGTGCTACCAAGATTTTGAAATACTCTGTACCTGTAGATGAGGCCATGATGCTTCGAGAGTAGGGTCATCCTCCTCGGGGTCAAAATCAGAGGGATTATCACTTGGGGGCAGCGTCCTGAATATATTGCATGCAATCTGGAAAAGACAGACCAGCAAAGGGTGCTACTAAAGAACACAACTAATATGGGGGAAGAGTACACCTAAGTGTGAGCTACGACAGAGGTAGCATGGCGGGGCCAGTGTACCTGTAGGTGTGGCCATGACACCTCTAACGATGGGTCATCTTCCTCGGGGTCAAACTCTGGGTCTGTGGGAGGCAATGTCCTGAAGACATTGCATGCTATCTGTAAGACAAAAACAGAACAAATGCTGATGAACAATCTGTGCAGCAGTGATGGTTAAATGCAGTTTAGTGCCCTTGACAAACTCTCTTGCCTTGTTCTGTCTTCTGGGTTCAGGCAATGCCATCTTAATGATTTAAAGTAAAGCAGGAAAATTGTGAGGCATAGTTCTCTATGAAATGCATATCAAAAATGCTTTCAATAACTTTCTATCACAATCTTAAGGCAATGTTAACATCACATTATTTTCCTGATCTTAAAAAAAGTATAAATGCTCAAGCCATACTGTGGGTTTCATTCATACTTATTTTGATTTTCAAAGAATGACTTTCTTTGCTTTTAAGTTGATCCCCCCCCCCCGATCTTTCAATAAAAAAACAAACCTAATACAAATATACACAATTCAAAGATGCCAAAAATAACAGGGTCAATTATAGAGTCATGAAAAAAGCAGCATATAATTTCATTCACCTGTTTAGATTGTTATTAACTTGCCCGAGGAATTGGGCAACACATTTCGATTCTTTAGAGTAAAAGACATATTTTAAAAAAATGTATATACAATGTGATTCATTAGTCACAAATGAGTTTTAAGAAGTTAGAACCCAGGGACTTTCTAGGAAATAAATAGTCCCACAGATGGCCTGCAGTCATATTGAAACTCCCAGTGTAAAAAAGTTTCCTTAAACGATACTGGTGCTCTATCTCCAATTTTCAAGTCAGAATTGCACGTTTGCACTTTTGTCGATAAAAGCTTCAAGATTTGGGCTGAAAAATTCCTTCCAGTGCCACATTGGTACTTAGAAGAACATGACCCAACAATAAATGAGAAGATGTGTGTTTCAGGTGAAAACCTAAACATCTCCACATTTCTCCTCTCCTTCAAAGTGCACCAATTCATTACATAGGATATTTTGAGCATACTATGTAATAAATTGCCTCCATTCAAAAATAAAGCCTAGACTTGGCATTTTCAAGCTGTATTTATTACATACTGGTAATCCAAAGCAATGTTTTTCAGATACTAAACATCTAATATTTTTATATTTCCAATGCATAACTGTGTGTGTGTGTGTGTGTGTGTGTGTGTGTGTGTGTGTGTGTGTATACAAACGCGTGTGCAATAGAGTGCGATCATGTTAGTGCACACATGCTGGCATCCACTGCTTGTTCACCATTCCATTTTTCTCTTTTGGAGCTACACTGAGCAAAACCTTCCTGAGGGTATTCATAACATATGACACAGAGGCTCAAAGAAAGAAAAGCCATGATGACACACACTTACCATGCCTGCAATACTCTCATCGACAAATCTTTCTTCCTTATATTGTACTGAAAAGCTTCATGTACAAAACAAAACTTATATAACTGCTGCCTGATATAGGATATAAAATGGGGCAGTATTTTTTTATTAATGTCTTATCATTCTTTCGATCTTTAGTACCCTTTGCCTATTATATAATATCCCCTTTGCAAACTCCAAAAACTAAGGAAAATAAAGTAAAAAATTAAAATATATGGAGCCTTCTCAGGTCTTCTTATTCTTTAAATCACCATTATATTTCATCTGGCAGGGCTGTTTCATCAACTTGAACATATTTTCGAAATTCAACCTAGACTGTCCATTTGTAATGTTTCAAATGACAGTCTAAACTACATCACTGGCATTGATCTTCAACAAAAGCTGTAACTGATTCTGGTTGCAATTAGTAATTATTACTGTACTTCAGTACAAATTTCTGAGATAATAGCTAATGCCTAGGTTCATAAATGAGTAGAACCTCAAAATGATTTTCCTGTCATTACATTAACCATACAGGGGCACTGTTCAGCGAGGGATTGAATTCGATCAGATTCTGGCAATCCTATTTTGTTGGAAATGGCTGCGGAATGTTTTTAAGATGACGGTGAGTGCTGAATAAAACCAGCAGTAAATATGGCTATTTATGATATATCCTGTTTATAAAAACAAAACATGTTCACAAATTATGTTCAATGCATGGTTTAAATGTTCTATCTTAAACGTACATCTTAACCACATCTAATGCTTGTGTATTTTCTGCACAGAGACTTATTTTTTAACAGCAAGTAAAGTTTCAATTCAAATTGGTAGATAAATAAAATTAACAAATAGGATTATCATAAAACTTGCAGTCTGCTAAACAGTTTCAATGTTGCCTGCATAACTTGAAAGTTGTTTCATATTATTCATGTTAAGCATGTTAAAATCAAATGTATTATTTAACATTCAAAAACAATGAATCATAAGATGTATGTCAAATATTCACAGTGTAAAACTGGCATTATTAACTCTGTTTTTAAATGTATTCATTTTAAAGTAAACAGGAGTGATTAACCAAACACATTTAAAATGTAGTCTGCATATTCCTTATAATATAGGTATGAATACAAGTATGAATAAAAAATAATCTTTGCTTCCAACTTTTAAAACTTACCATTTTAACCATTTCTGGGTATACTGGTTCTGTGAGCACGCCACGGGTGGCTGTGATATAATCCACTAACTCGTTAAGACAAGCTCGCTTGATTTCTTTACTTTTTAAGTCCGATATAGGATCCATAAAATCAAATACAACACAACATTGCTGGAGTTTCTTGATGAATAAATCTTGTTGCTCTGCAGGAGGGGTATCTGAAATCACAAGAAAATGCTAATTAAAGACTCCATCCAAAAAAAAAAAAAAAAAAGGTCTAAAAGCTTTGAGTTACATTACCTCTATCAAGTTAGTTTTCCTGCTTCTCAGATCAACTGCATCACAGCACATAAAGGCTTTAAGAAAACATGGACTGTGACTTGAGCAAACCATTCACTGGTTGTCCATCAATTGAATGTACTCTCTTGAGAATGAAGACATTTATGTTACAAATCACTGCACGTGTGATGCTGAATATTACAGCAAAATACAACCAGGAAGGTCATCCATTTCATTCTGAAACAAAGGCCATTTCTTAGAAGCCAATCATCTTACCAATCTAAATCTGAAACAGATATGTCAAATATGCATCAAACCCCAATGTCTCTTTGAATTATCAGGTTATACTTAATCCCCACACAAACCTCTAGTGTAAATTGTACTAATGAATCGATGTATCTTTTTTCACCTAAATCAGTCATGCTGGAGACATAAAATATGATAAAAAAGATAATTGGCCAGTTATGCAGATCACTTAAAACAATTCTGAATCAATATTTGATGCTCCATTAAGCAAGTTCAAAACATAATTGACTGCCAGTTGAATTAGAAAAAAAAAGTGAGAATTTAGCTTTTAATACCACCCTTTTAAACAGATTAATGTCATCATAAGATGGGTTTATACCATGTTAGAGTCCCAGTGTTGCCCTGTTCCAACAAGAGTTGATAACATTTGGGCACAAGGCCCACTGTTTAAAATGCATGACCTAAAAGTCATACAAAATCACACATAAGACATTTTTTTCACCTTATGCTATATCACAAGATATATTCAGTATGATATCATTTGCTGAGATTTTATCAAACCTTGATCACAAAAAAGTGGTTAATAACAAAGCAGGGATTAGACTGCCTTATAGTGAAAAAGTCAGAAAATATGACAAGGGGTCCAGGCAGCCAATCAGGCCAACGACATTTCAGGCTCCCAAAAAGTTGAAATCTGCTGATAGTTGAAAAAATCTCATCCCTGACATAGTTCTAGTATAAAAATCAGTGCACAGTAATGGAATAGTTTAAGATGACTTTACTTACTAACCCTACTGATGCCCCATCCTTGACACTGGTTTTATGAATTAATGCACATCATATTTGCCCTAAGCCTCATAAAGAATGTAACCTTCAACACAACTTGAAGAACTTTTATACTTTTTTCTATCATACCATGATAATTCTACCTGATTGAGCCTTTCCTAACGCATTCTTTTCTCTCATTTGAACTTACTCTCACTGGAAAAAATCAATAGCAATTAAACTCTGTGTGCCTCTGTCAAATGACAATGGCACGGCCTCCCTAAACACAAAGGTTCAAGAGAAGCAGAAATCTATTGGGAACAGTATAATAGTGTGTGTGTGCCAGAACAACAAATGAATACCACATCTGAGTTTATGATGACCATCATACAAATAACTACAGTAACGAGAGCATTTTTCCTTCCATTTACCCCCTGGGTTCAGTCTTGAAGAAAGTTTACCTGACCAAGCAAGTTGTAGCACAAACAGTTAAGTCATTGGTGGTCATTTGAACCAGCTGTAATCTATATAATGTTGGTCCTGTCGTGATATTGCCAGTCAGATTAGTTTTATGCAATATGATCACATAATGCACAGATTAAATAGTACTAGAATCTGTTACGGTTATCAAAACTGTTTCCTAAATTCTAATAAATAAATTTTAAAGATAATAATAACTGAGACTAAACTAACAAGCTAAATAAACTGGTATCTTAAAAAATATACTTTAAACCCAAAAAAATATATGGACAAGCCAAGTGGTTATTGTAAAATATTGCCCGTTTATTGCTGGTCTATTTGGTATGATAAATGCATGAATTTCATCAAAATCGGAAGGCACTTGATTGCTGACTGGCAAGACTTGTCATAACTGCAGAGCTTCTGCAGATGCTACTGCATGTCTTATTCATATCATAGGATTGTACCACATAAATATATAAAAGCCCACCTGTCTGGGCATTTTAGTACAAAATATGCCTTCCAGTATGAAACTGAACTGAACCAGCCACTGGGCTGCTCACCAACTCCAAGAAGCAGGTACTAGTGCATGGGCATTTTGAGAACAGGTGATTTTTCTCCACACTGGACATCTGCTGATATTCTCCAAACAAGAAATAACACATAGCATGGGTATCCACTGTACATTATTCAAGGCTAATAAAGAGCACCTTCCCCTTGTAACACTTAATTAGCTTACTTCATTAGTAGAAGAAATAACCCAATAACTTGTCATGTTTAAATGAATCTCATTTATAGAAAATTGAATTCCAGGAAAATATTTAGGGTTAAATTCTCCCTTCTAATCAGAATTACGACAAGAGAACAAAGGGTAAATCTTATTCCACTGATGTCTCAGCCTAGTATAATTTAACAGATATTCATTTCTCAATCCTTAGAATTCTGCCTGATAATATACTGGCAAGAGAGCAATCGATCAAGATTATAACAGCTTCTCCCAAGAGATGCAGTAAGAGATATTGTGTGTGGCAGGGGAAGGACATAATACACATATTTGCTGGCTCCCCTATATGCAGAATATAAATATATTTCAAATCTTTACTGCAAGTAACATCAACATCTTTTTTAAAATAGAGTACGAGTCTACAAAACCCCAATATGTGTACGAACCCACATACAGGTAAAACAGAACTGCTATCACAGCATAAAAACTGCAAGAAATCAATTAAGGAAGTTTTTTCTCCAGGTTTTATCTATTCCACCCACCTGCGTGGAAGCGATATATGAGAGCATGACTGGCTTCCCTCAGCAGGCGTACCTTCCCATCCTCTCATATTGCACCTCTCTCATGCTGTACCATATATTAAGTACTTACAAAATTGAACATACATGTCGGTTTAAAAAGATGTCCCAGCATGTTTCAGTTGTATGTAATCAATAAAAACACATCCACCAACACGGTGGAATAAAAACATCCAAATATTAGTTGCAAATCCTCTAAGCAAGGAAACCCCATGTACTTATACTTTGGCATAAAATCATGTCTAAACTAGAAAACCATACTGTATTGTCACTTATGCAATGGAAACCTATGTGATGTTGGGATGAAAATGTGTCAAGTATACTATAACATCACATTTAAGGCTCATATAAGTAATGAAAACTGTCAGAAGGAATCAGAACAGGAAATTAAAAAGTTTATCGAGGGGGCAAATAATCCCAGAACAAGGCGTTGGAGGGCTTATATGCACAAAGAGAAGCTCATGCAAAGAGACAGCCGTATATGTAATAAAGCAGAGAATATTTTTCTAAAATATGCAAATTACCAATTTGGAATGCTCATTATTTCATATTACCTGCAGAGTTCCAAACAGCTTTGACTCTCATCTTCTCAGCTCTGTCCTTCCTCAAGACAGTTTTTCCATAAATTCAGTCTGGATATCCAAAAGAGATGCCTTTTCAAGAATTCCTATGATACCTGTAGATTTGTCAATATTTTCTCATTTCGTATGAATGGTGGGCAGAATTCAACCAAGATGCGTCCCTCCTAAAAATCCTGCTCATAATTTTGAGGTGCCTCGATCTTTCAATTAATCAATCTGCAGGATAACCAATTACTTTGAACACAGATTAGGTAAAAATCATTAAGACATCAGATCCAGTATTCCTGCAGATATCACTCCTGTTTTGGAATATTGAAAATAAAGATTCCCATGCAAAAATGAAGGGGGCAGGGGAAGGAGAGAGAATTCCTGGATTGAATTGTACATACAATACCCAAATGTAATATCCTCTGCTTCATTTACTTGATGCTCCCTTTCCAAATCATTCTCTCCCTACCATTTCCCCTGTAACCTGCATGAATAGAACCCACATTGATGATATCATACTTATACTTGCTCCTATAATAAGTCAGTGCATGGATCGATAGGAGCCCTAACTTTTCCAAAGACCAATGATTTAGTATACAGCCAAGGGGTGAAATAGTCTGACTAAAAGGTGAACAATACTGTCAATCCTGAAGCGTATATTCATAATCATATACTACAGTGTCCATCATCCAAATTACCCGAGTGACAAATGCCAAACACTGCTTGTAGGTACCAAGGCCAAGTCTGGATCAATACTTTCCAGAAAAGTAGACTTCAGTTTCCAGTTGACAAATTATTTTTTCTCATTGAAAATGGATCAGAACCTCCTCAGCATCCTCATTGAATTATACGACTGTCTACTGTATCAATAGCATTTATGAATTCCCATAAATATCTTTCTCATCTTTCAACAAATCTCAGTTCATATCTTGGTGGCTGTATCCAAACCAATTTCTCGAGTGCCCTGCCCTTTATGCTAGTGCTCTTTTGAGTTCATATATATATACATAGTGTGTGTATGTGTGTGAGGGTATGTGCTATATACCTGCCAATGGTTAATCACTTCCAAGCCAAGTGCATAAAGCAGTGGGTAGTCCTGAACTTCAGCTAAATTAATCACACTGTTTATGTTAGCAGGAGCTCGAGATATACACATTTGTGCTATTACATCCAGAAGATCCCCAATTACTAAAAAGAGTGTAAATCCCAGTCTTGTGCTGTACATCTGTATTATACCTCTAGCTGGTGACAGGTCTGTTTTTTTATTTTTTTATTACAGTAAAGAAAGTGTATGTGGAGATGTATACATACATAATACTGGAATTCACTACACAAATGCAGACACCAATCACCTGGTTTAGAACCTCTCATTCAGTTTTTGACCATCTTACAGGTAAATTCCTGCCTGTTTTTCTCCCCCATAAGAGAACACCTAGTGAGTTATAAATCATGTTGGCTGCTCAACATGTACATGGTCTGAGACATTACGTTTCTGTAAGATTTCTTTTAAGCAAATCTGCTCAAACAAGTTCTAGGTAATTCAATAAATTGGTAAACATTCTGCCAATAACACTGAACACATTAATTTACAAGAATTGTTCACAACAAATAAGAACAGGAATATCTGGCAGAGAAATAGAACACATCATATGTAACACGCAAAAAAGTTGATGAATAAAACACATCACAACAATAATAAAGAATCAAATCATCTTTATGAACAGATGCTATGTACAAACAAATTAGAATATATATTTATATACAAGGTACACCATAATGGCTCACTGACTCGACAGGATTAAACAGCCAATCAATCTACAGGGCACAGTACAGGGGCACAGGGTGGGACAATTTGATAATATAACCTGAAGATGTTTCTTTTTTGTGTTTGTGTTTATCACTACAGATCTACAACTGCTATTGAAAATGAATTACCTGAGAGCTGAATAAGTATTATTGTGAGTCCTTTTGTGTGTGTATGCATGTGTGAGTAAAAAAGAAATGGATGAAAGATGGGGACATTCAACTTTCTGGAAGAGGTCCCTTTTATCAACTAAACAGCAAAGCTTGCAAATATACAGACACTCAACAGAAAAAAGGCGTTAACCATTGCTCCATTTTGGCGTTAACCATTGCACATTCATTACAGCAAACAATGATTTCATAAAAAATAAGATTTTTAACCAATTAAAGGCACTTAGCAAATTTGAAGTAAAATAAAAATACAGTTTCAAAAATCACTGAGTAAATTTTAAGTAAAAACAAAAATATAGTTTGGCTGTTAAATAGGGTGGACAACAGACCTGTCAGATGGCCATGGCAACGGAAACTATACACATAAACATAGTGATCATTATACATACATACATACCCTTGCAGTGTTTACATATAAAAGTACCAAATAATCAAGTTTAATTCATTTATATTTCACAACTGGATCCCAAACAACAAATACATTGCGTTTAAATTAATTTCTATTTAGATCGGATCTCTTTATCAATATGGATTTATCTTGTAGGTTTTCTCAACACGTTGTTTTTCTCACTGATGGCCTGACCATGAACATTCACTGGTATAAGGTATAAGCAGCCTGAATGCTCACATATTCTTATATATTCTCTACCTGGTCTGGCCAAACCCAATCTGAAAGGAATGCTTAACCTTTACCTGCAGTCTGTAGTAAAGCGTGCATTAGTGTAAATTGGGACATGAACTCTTTTTCTACCATCTACAATATTATATTGAAGATGTGTTGCAGACTATCAGACACAAATGTCATTACTACATTTTCTTTACAAAGAAAGTTGCTCATCATAAATAGGTGGAATTGCTTTACATGAAGCATTTCTTATATATATTTACTGATGTACACACTTGTGCTGGTACAAATATCAGAATGTATACAAAAAATGTGCATTTCTGAGGGGCAAATTATAGACAACTAGCAATGTTTCAAAATCTAATATATTTCCAGAGTGGACAATAATCAAGATATATGTTTTTCTGGATACTTAAAACATTAACTGAGGGGAAAAACAAAGAGATATTCATAAACTGAACATATATAATAGTTAAAATGTCTCTAATATACACCATTTAGAACAACTTATTTCTTCCCCTACATGTACTTATATATAGAACACTGTCAGGTATATGAATGATGTTTGTTCATTCTCATATGCAAAGACATGCAATTTTTTGGTTGTAAAATTGCCCTAACTCTATACTTTGACACCAAAAATAAAATTAACTTAAATATATTCAACATTTAATCATCTTTCAAAACTAAAAAATGATAGGTCACAATAAGGAGTTTAAGACTTTGAAAATACTGCCAAATACCAACCACAACACAAAGAAGTCCAAAATCAAAATAAAAAAGGTTTCTCATAATTCATTCATTTAATCTATATTGACTAAGCATGCCACTCAAAAGACTTTAACTAATAATCAGTGTACATAAGGTTTGCAATAATTTTCTCACAGTAAAGATAATTTTACTTGACATTGAAAACTTGCAATAAATCCATTAAAGGTACACACAATTTTTTTTTTTTTTTTTGAAAGACATTAGTTATGTGGCACATACAAAACAAAAGACATTTTTAAAAACATGTGACCTAGAAACCAAGGGTCTTGTCTAATATCATGTCTGATTTATTCTTCAGAACCACTAAGGTAATAAAACTGTTGAATCACACCTCAACCAGGTTTTTTAAATCAATTTTTTCTGAAGAAGTCAATCTTCTTGATAAGGATATTCAAAATGAAAGCCTATTTTCTTATGAAAGTTTTAAAAAGTTGCCTTTACTGACATATCATGCAATCTGCAATCTTTTAAATTCAACATTGATTTAAAACCATGATATAAGATTCTCCATAAAAAATCAAGGCATAACTGATTATTTTTCATATTGCATCATTGGAAAATCATTCCAGTCATCTATGCATTACACTGCCAGTGTGGTTCTCAGCAATGTCCACCTATTAACTTTAAGATTACGCTCTTGAACTGACAACACAAATGCATAACACAAGAAGCATTTAAGAGTCAATGCGAAACATGCAATCAGTCATAAGCAATTTCATACATTTTTCAGCAATCAACTGACGCATTTCTTATGCAACCCTGTCTATTATAAGGCCTATAAGGACCAGTGTCACTCTGGAAGAACTGGGCAGGAACTGTTTAGGTTGCTGGTTTGACACCTTGAAGGTGAAGGTCAGAGGGTGGAAGGAAAATAGCTCCAGCCAGTACACATGACTGTATGTAAAAATCTCAAGTCCATGGTACACAGAAGATGCTTCACATAGAAGTATAACCCTAATGACTACAGTAGAAATAAAACCTTCCAGATCAACTTTTTACTCATTGTCAAATGTATGCATATGTTACATTTACAAGGCTTTGTGTACTCACTGGTGAATCTTTTTTTTTTTTTTGGTAAATTCATCTGCATTCAACAAGAGAGTTGAATGCATTTTCTGCATTTGAAAATGAATTAAATACAGGAGCAAAGCACTGATGAAGCTTTTCATGACCAAATCCTTGCATAATAAGCATTCACACAATGCATATATACACAAGCAGAGGCACTGACACAAAACTGATACACTTGCCACACAAGCCATAACAAAGGCCAAGTATTGACATTGTGACACTATATTGAACAACAGCTACCCAGCTGTGACACATGCACTTTCAATGAAATGAAACCAGTACCACAAAAATCAGATCAAGGTTCTTCCTGTAGAGTGCCATTTCTGAATTAAGGATGTCTCACACGCATACACAACATAAACACTATTTGATCCGAAGTTATTTTTTCTGAAGGATCAGTCACATAAAGAACTCTTTCTTTTAATTTAAAACTCTGTACAAAATTTCATGTCTTAAGAGTCCACTACTTAGAAAACAGTACAAAATATTAAATATATGTAGACACAGTACAGGACACATACGACTTTTTTTGGTGAAGAATACAGAAGAGATGCAAACAATATGACTAAACACTTTTTCTCTCCTAGGCTAAATATGTGACACATGATGGAAAGTTTTCTTTGGTCTAATAACAAGTTTTGATAACTTTGTACAACAATATCATGATAATAAAACATTGTTTATTCAAAGAGTGGTATCAAAGGATAAATCAGACCTTTACTATTTATCTGTTATTGGTTTTGAATAATATCATCATCCAAATGTAAGGCGAGTCTTATCGGATTCAGTCCAAATCATAACAGAACAGTGATATGCTTTTATCTGTGTCATATTTTAGAAACTATGATATTTGTGGTGATGTACATAAATAAACATATATAAACAAGAAAAAACACTTCACTGATTTTAACTTTCAGTATTGGTAACCATCTGATAATAAAAATAATGAAAAACACAACTGCATGGATTTTGTACAAGATTTCATGACAACATATCAAAGCGTCTTAATCTCATGAATGTCAACTTGCAGGAAAACTAGGTTTCTTGGTTATAATTTCAATGAATTGGACAAAAATGGAAGATAATTTTATCACATGCAATCAAAACACACATTTAGCTTCAATTAATGTCAGTGACTTCAACCACGACAAGCCCCTATTTATTGATATGGCAATTTTTATTGACTGATACATCTCACAAACTCTGTCTGGAATTAATAGTAATATGTATTATCACATGAATATCTAATGGCACAGAGCATGTGCGAATCACTATCAACATCAAATCACAAACCTGTCTGTCAATTTCACATCTGCAGAGATATGCAAGTAGAGCTGTTATCAAAACTGTGCATCCCATCTGTGTTGATCAACCAGAAACAATGCAGTTGGCTACCCACCTACAAGTATCCTAGCTTCATGAGCAGAACCTCTGCTTTGCCTCCGAGGAACAACCAACATTTTGTTGTAACATTTAGACGAAAATGCCTAGCCCTGGCTATGTGCTTGGAGCTTGCATTCTGGTTATTTCACATAATTTTTTCCCTGGTAAACATACCACTGCATACACAACTTTCATTTTCATTAACAGTTTACAAATGTTTAGAAAAAAACTGAAGTTCATGTCTTCATTCCTAGCACAAAAAATATTAAGCAACACTGAGTAAACCCTGGTGACTTTCAAGGATAGAATTTCATGTTTTTGGGATGAGTCTACATTTTCACCAGATGCTGTCAGGAGCTAATATTAAACAACATCTGACTGAGTGCAACATCTCAAGGTGGATGAGCATGTGCCAAAAAAGCCGGCAAGTCAGAGCTTTCCATCATACCATAAATAGTACAGCTGCTCTTTTGGATGCTAACCTACAATCAAGTATAAATTATGGTTTCCTGTGATTTTATACCTAACATACAAAATATCTGTATCTTTGCTTTGATACTTATTACCTGTGTAAGGTCAATTTCATTTCATGGCCTGAAGCAAAAAAGTGCACATCAAAACAGAAAATACATAAAGTTTAAAACAAAAAAGTGGAACAGTATTAAATCTAAGGACTTAATTTCATTGGAAAAAGGAGGATTTATATGTAGGACTTTACAAATGTACCCAATTTCCGTATTGAATTTCAAATATGACATATCTCTGATTATCATTCCTGTAGATTCATGGCAAAGTATATAAACCATATATTTCTCCCATTTCTGAAATGATCCTTAAGTATCATTAGTATGAATAGTAAAGAATATATATGTATGAACAAGAATTAATTATATATGTTCCCTAACTTTTAAAACATAGAATAAGGTCTGACAAAGAAAACCAGTTATAAAATGTTATCCATTACCTTTTACTGTAAAATACAACCCAAAGATGCAGTGTTAGGTCTTATAAAGTTCAATTCTTCAAATCAATGTTTGTCAAATCTATCATTTCTGAGCATAACACAACAAACTAACATACAAATAACACAGGAGTTGATAAAATTGACAATTCAGATGCAAATATACACATGTAAATAAACATTTCATTTTCAGGGGGTAATTTTGTTTCAACAACTCTCATAAAATCTGTAACTGGTAAAATAAACAATAAACCAAAACAACACGTCTAGTGTATAAAAATGTTCAAGAACATAACTTCTTTCATTTCAAAATAGCAGAAAATAGACGTGACCTTGTCTTAAAGCATTCAAATTAAGAAACTACGGCAAAACGCCTTCATCACTCATTAAGGTGAAGGTCAAATTCATAAATATTTTAGAGGGTTAACTTAAACACTAAGTAAAAAAAATTCGTATTAATCTTTGCTTGTTTTCTACATTATGTATAATGAAGAACGTGCATACCTTTTAGCTGAGGTAAAGCCGTCAGTTCCGAGTGATCTTTCGTCCTGTAGTGAGAAGACCCCTGAGATCTTTTTTGTTTTCTCTTGATAGATGCCTTATTTGTAAAGGGGTCGATCCTGTCAACAATTTTTGCCGACATTGTGCTTGTTATTGGGTTGCAAATAAACAAATTGGTATATAATTTTATGACTTAAAATACAAATCCCTGACTTATTACTATACAATTTTCACACCATCCCATGTATTTGGTCGGCCATGAAATTTCCCGTGGCAACTGTCCGGTGGAATTAGGTATCCCCGTAGACTCCTCTCCAGGGTAGAACAGCATCCGATTATGCTTTAAGTCATTCCTTAATGATCGATTAACGGTCCAACTACTCCACCATTTATTAATATGAGAATCCTGTCAGAAAATTCGGTCAAATTTTAGTGTACTCTTCTCAAAAACTCGTGTTGCCAGAGCAGTTTCTCTCAAATCTCGCCCTATCTCGTCAAAGTACTGCTAAGTACGAGATTTGCCATGTTGACCCATATTTTGGTACGTGTTCTAAGACGTTAAGAAATAAAACGCTATTTCGTTGAGTTTCTGCTTATCAAACAACAAAATATCTCAATTTCTTTCTTGGTGATATTGAGGCAACAATAACTTTCTTTTTAAGATGTTCTTTTATTTCTTATGTGGTTTTTATTTTGTTGTCAAGGGTTTCAAAAGGTTTGTTTACTTATTAGGCCACATGTAGGCCTACATGTACCCTGAATAGCCTGTATGCACCCATCGTTTTATACGGTGTCAATACTAAAATGATGAACACGATATCTTAGGGTGAGGCAGCAACATATGTTTAGGTTTCCCGAATAAAAAAAAATGCACGCACTTGGAATCCCTGCAAAAGGGCGGCGTTGTGAGTAGGGGAGGGGGAGGCACCTGCACCCAACGAGCAAAACTCGGTACATTGCCGGTTTGCCTAAGCTACCTTTATGGCTCCTCTATTCCAGGGGGGTAACTTTTATTTTTAAAAAGAGAGAGGGAAATTAAATAACAAAAATACATAAAAAGAAAATAAAGAAAGAAAAAAGAAATCAAGAAAGCAACTTATTTTCTATTAAGACGATTTTTGATCAATTTTCTGTTGATGTCCCATGTTCAATTTGCCGTTTCTATTCATTCAAAATGTATCAGAGCACGTTGTTTGTATCACTTTTTTCTTTATATTTTCCGTTCGAAATCAATTCATCGTGTTTGGCCGTTATACATGCCTCTATATGCAGGATCTCAATTGTCTAATAATTTTACTTTTTCACTATAGGCTATAGTATAAGGTAAATAATTAAGATTATCAAGCACGAATCTGGCTCTATTTCACAAGTTCCAAAGTACACCGAAAATATGACATTCTATCTCATTTTCACATTTTTTAAATGCCCATATCAATTTCTCTTTTTTCATTCCTTCAAAAACAAATTATGAGTTTTCTGGTTTGCATGGCCCGAACATATCATTCATCACCGGCCCATTGCCGTTTCGAGCCGCACTGATAGATTGAACACTATGAACGCTGTATAAAAATAATCAACACATATTTTTTTCTTTCACTGCCGAACCAACAAGCAGCTAGGATGAGATTTAGATCTACATCAATTTTTACGTAACAGACATTAAAAGAGCTTGTATTATGAAAAAATGGCAAAAGTTAATTTTTTTATGCCTAACAATGTTTGAAAACTTGTGGCAACATTTTGGCCCCGCACTTTGGTCAGTTACTGAACCTTTCTTCAGTGGCACACTAGATTTGTTAGTCATAAAATTATTACATGCAATCACAATAAAACTTGTGTTAATAAAACCGTGTAATGAAAATAAATGGTTATCTTGGCCTCACAAAACCAAAACGCGATGTATCAGCAAAATGTCGCGCAAAAAGGAATATACTCATGATCACACCATACTAGTTCTGTTATCTACTTTGTATAAGATAAAGCTGGGTAGTATTAAAATACTATCCAGCTTTTATTTGCCTGCACGAAGGGATAACATCTTTTCGAATGAGATTTTAATTTCACAATAAATACATATTATAGAACCCATAGAAATATAATGAATTCTGTTTTACAACCAAAACAGCGTTATCGCAATTGTAATAAAAGTTGTTCTTGTCATCTGATCACGTGGACCTTCACACATTTAGATGGCTATACCTATAGTATACGTTATAATCTCTTAAGAGATTAGGCCTATTTCAAAAGACCAAACTAAAATAAATAAATAAATAAATAAATAAATAAATCACGGACATACTTTGAACGTAGGAATGGATTCATTAACCATTGGTAAGTATGGAAAAACCATCGTTTACCCCAGGAAAATCCTTTTTTGGCGCGGGGGGGGGGGGGGGGGCTAAAACGAACAGTTTTTAAGTGAATATGGATCGCATTTTGAACTTCAAACTTGTGTCTGTACGTGCGAGCATACCCCGTGACCTAATGAATGGCAAACGAAAGTAAAGGCCAAAAGTTACCCTGGAAGTGAACAACACTGACTTACATCACAATATTTACCACGCGCTTTATAATTATAGGCCCTCTAGGCCTATTGTTTACGCCCTACCAGTGTAGTCGTCTTTTCTTGAGATTTTTTCAGATACAATTTGATTATTCATAATTTATTCTGAGATTAAATTTTTATAGCAGATATTATATTTATTAATTTTTCCATTTGTATCAAAAATCTAATGGGCCCAATTATAATATTCATTTAATTGCCTGCTTTCTGAAAGGAATCGCGTGTTGAAAACCATATTTGCCGGAAGAATTTCATAAATTGCAATTCGCCAAATATGTTAGTCTTTATTTCATTTTATTCTATTTTATTTTATTTTCAGTCTTGTTTAAAATTCTAGCTTTGTTGATTTAAAATTTATTAATTTTATCGTAAGCAACATCGAGGCCGTGCAGCGGAAGAGCGCCCAACGAGCAGCTTTGCATTAGCCTTGTCTTGGGCTTTGCGAAAATTGCGATTTTGATATTCTTGAAATGGAAAATTATATACCATTAACATATTTCAAGTTAAAGAAGGAGAATATATAAAAGGAGAATATGAATAAAAAACACACACAAGGTAAATTCTTCCATTCTTCCATTCCAAAATTGTAGATATTGTGTTTCGAGCAACACTAGTTTACTGTTAAAATCTTGGCAATATTGCACTTCCGGTGTTAGCGTTAAGGTGGTAGATTTCGGCACGTGTGTTGTCACAAAAATGTTAGCCAAATCAGCTGTATATGGGCTGGCAGCCAGCGCAGGCCTAGCTTTCATTGGATATTGTATTTACTTTGACCAAAAGCGCAGAAATGACCCCCTCTTTAAGCAGAAGCTAAGGGAAAGTAAGTGATTACGACTTTACTGGTACTACTACATGTCGTTGTCTAGTTCTCCGTTCAGATTCTACTCTCCACTACTGGCTGTCATTCATTTTTATCTGAGCAAAAAAGTAAATATGCAGTTTAAGGAAGACTGGAAACAAATTATTCAAACGAGTTGTTTCTCTTATTTTTGAGCATTAAGTCCTGATACTAGTTCTGTACTGTAAAATTTATTTTCTCGTTATCATCAAATTACATAAGTTAAAGTTACATACAAAGCGAGCGTGGGTTCCCAGTAACGCATTTAAACTACTTCTGCTAGTTTCTTATTCAACTAAAATAAAGTTGACATGCCAAGTTATGACTCGCTCAGTCAGAAAAAAGATTTAAACCTGCTCTTTTTTCAATTTTTTTGGTCCAAAATTGATTTATATAGTCCCATAAATGATGTATTACTGCATGAGCATTGCATAATCATAACTCTCATTCCTTTGTTCAATGTATGAATATTGCGCATACTTTAAAAAAAAAAAAAAAAAAAAAAAACTGTTGAGGGATATATCCAGTGAAATATTTTTTGGAAATATGAAATTATTAAGATCTACTTTGGTATTTATCTAAGTTACACTTTTTGATACCATATGAAGACATTTGGTTGGGTTTTGTGACAAAATTTTGACTTCAAATGCATCTTTAAAGGAATACTTTGGAATCCTGANCTCAAACTGAAAGCAATTTAGTGAGAAACCCCTTGGAGTTGGATTGATCCTGTTAGATTGATCTAGGTATGGGAACTTAGTCTAATGCTTGATACACATTTTACTTTCATCCTAATCCAGTGTTATGCAGAATAAGAATTTGATGTTGGCTATGCAGTTACAGTAAGCATAATACATTAGTTCATCAGAATTGACAGTATCCTATTTCCTGCGTTTTTATTTTCTGGTTTTTGTCTGTACATTTGACAGCTTTGCTGCCTTGTTCCCAATTCAAACCTTATAAGAGATAATGCCCCCTCAAATAAAAGTTCTTCTGAAATTTACTGGAAGATATGGCAGTCTTAACGTCTGTCAAGGCATTTAGAAATAAATTTGAGAAGAAATGATATAAAACATCGAACCAAGTATTTGGGCAGGTCAAGTAATGATTTGTGAAGAAAATTGATTTTTTCTTGGGGAAATTTCAATTTGGCCCAAAAATCCCAGATAGGACCTACCATTAATTAATAATGTTGTAAGAAGGGCAGGGTATTGAAATATGCTTTATGTACTGCAAGGCAGTAATGTCTGTAGAAAAATAGAAAAGATTAACTATTATAATTGTGAACATGACATAATTTTTCTGTTTGTCTGGCAGTGTTTGCTAGACATACACATTTACATTTATGATTAAGGATGAGTTCATTGGTCAAAACCTAATTACAACAATGATGCATTCTAAACAAAACATACCATTTAATCATTTTATTTCATTATGGCCCTTCTTGCTGTAGATTGTTCCACGGAGTTTATTTTGATTTCCCAAGGACAAGGAATACACCAACAATTGTGCTTACATGAATTTTATGCATAGATAAAGTTGTCACAAATTGTTACAACATATGTTACACCATTTTACCCAATGGAATTGATATTACAGGACGAAAAAAGAACAAGGAAAAAGCATCAAAGAAGGCCAGAGGACCAGTAAGAAAGAAAATTTTGCAATTTTTAATGCATTAATCAAATGCGTATTATAAAGGCTGTCATCTGATTTGTGTTTACTGATGCCTATTTTGCTTTGATGTTCAACATTATTCTTTTGAACTTCAAAAAGTATAGCAGTTATTAGAATTAGCCATTATTTGATATTAATCCTGTCATATTTTTATGTCAGATTCCAGATTTAGAGAGTCCAGCTGACAGGAACAAATTTTTTATCCAGGAAGTGCAAGTAGGAGAAGAACTGTTGGCACAGGGTATGTCACTTTAGGGCAAATGAAATTTTACCCTTTTTTTTACAATGTCAGTTATTGAAACTAGTGTTTTAATAATTAAAGGAGTACAACACGTTGCACTGTATTGATTGGTGATTGATTTGCATTGATGTACTTTTGAAGGTTATGGAGTTCACATTAACAAATATATGATCCTAACAAAGCAAGAAATAAAGGGAATCATCTATGACAGCCTAAGTCAAGACTAACAAAACTTTTGAGGATCTGTGTGACAAGGGGTAAACTTTTTAGCAATAAAATTCTTTTTAGAAAGCAACACAAATGTGACACCTTAAACTTGGTGAATTTATACTGTTGTATATAAGTTTGAAAATTGACAGGTCATGAACAAAAAAAAGCAGAAAAATATCAGTGAATAAATTGTGTCAGCTTTTATTTATTGCTGCACCACATCTGCTAGTCTGCCATCCCTTCTGATTTCACTTTTCTCTGAATCTTACTTGATATTACGTTAGGTTGGGAGGCTTTGGGATAACTTGGATGATTCCCATTTTACCATAGTCTTGGTCACACAGAAGTATAGATAAGACAAGTATTAGACGTGTCTATTAAAATGCCCTCAGACAAAGATATATTCAACTCATCCAGGGGTATTAATCACATATAGCGATAGTTTTAATTTTTGTGTTTTAGGTGATCTTGAGGGTGCAGTAGAACATCTCAGTAATGCTGTGGTGGTATGTGGGCAGCCTCAGCAACTGCTACAAGTACTGCAGCAAACATTACCCCCACAAGTGATACAAATGATTTTACAGAAGCTTCCAGAAGCAAGTGTGGTAGGTTGATTTTCATGCTGTTTTACCACCCTTTTTTTCTTTTTGTAATGTGATGTGTGTGTACTATTCACAGTTTTTTTAACCCCATTTGCTTGTACTATAAAGAGATGGAGGTATTCTGATGAACTTGTGATAATCCCTTCCCCAAGTTCTTATTGTTTTAATTGATTGGCACACATCTGTTGCTTTTGATTCAATTTTTGTATTATCTTTGACAAAAAACATGTTAATTAATCAATTTTGATATGAAGCTTTTACCTCTCAAGTTTTCCTTGTTTACTCACTAAAATGGATCAAGCTTTGGAGTCATAATTTGTCATTTTTTTTAGAAAGAAAGATAAATTTCCTAATTCCTCTTAATGATATGTATGTTTTTCAGCGGCTGAATCAAAGTGCCAGTCAGGGAGAGATGATGGAGGATGACTTGGAGTAAAGTATTCATGTAAATTTAAAGAAGATATGAAATAACTTTTGCATACCACCACACATGTACATAGGAGTGTAGTTTTGACACTGTAAATCATTTTTTTTACTCAAAACTGTTAGTACTTGCTTACATGTCAATACCTTCATTGATGTATAAGTACAACCAAGGAACTTTGAAGGGCTATTAAAATTTACCAACACTTCATTGCACTTATTTGAAAGAAATCCTACCACAAGCTCAAGATTAGCTCTTTCTTGCAGCTAGAAAAGTTTCAGTAAGTGAGGAAGTTAAAAATATCTGTAGTGAAGATATGTTTGTGCATTCTACACATATACATACACATTTTTGTTCATGTATATATCATGCTTTTTAAGTATATCAAATGAAGACATTATGTTGAAGCACTTGGTTTTATGTTTTAATTTTGAGAAAAACTTAGTGTGCTAAATTCACTAGTGGTATTAAGGGAAGTGTATCAAGTTAAGTGTGCTAAATTCACTAGAGATATTAAGTGAAGTGTATCAAGTAAAGTGATGTATTAATGATGTTGTGAGGATGATGATGATGATTTTGTCTGGATCAGGTTTAGCAGAAATAAATCTTCAACTCATATTCTTATTTTATCCCTTATCCCAGGCAATGTCTTGTTTATTGATAAACCATTTCATAAATGGAGGACAACTTTTAGAAATGTGTTAAATGGTTTCTAAGCATTTTAAAGTAATTTTCTGAGAATATAGATGCAAATACTTGGTCCACTCGGGTCATTTTTGAGTGAAATGGTGCTGTGCATAATAAAATGATTGGTGTCACGTTGGCTTTGCAAGGCAAAGGACATTTTAAGACCTCAAAATTTTGCTTCATCTGTAATGAGTCAATTTCTCTAATTGAATTACAGTAAATATATAATATATGAAATCATTAGCGCAAAAGCCCTGAACAATACATGTAACAAGTGTCTATGTAGTGGATTGTAGTGGATCAATAAAGGCTCAAACAGACAACCTGCATGTAGCGTCCAATATCTTAACAAATGCAGGTTGTCTGACCAATTAGATTTAAAATATCTAAAAGGACTGCATGATAAGGAGTAATTTTTTTGGGGGGGGAGGGGAGGGCAAGATGTCTGAAACACCTTAGCCTTTAGTCCCATTAATAACTGAGTGAGGCATTCTTGGTGGATTAAACAACAGTTTCTAGAGACAGCTGGGTGGGATGTGCAACTTCATATTGCTCAGGATCATCTTCAAAGTCACTGTCACTCAACTCTTTCTCAAACATGTTCATCAAAAGAACCTCCATCTTTTTGCGACCTGATGAGATGAGAAAGGAAATAAAATAAATATTAAATTAGAAAAATATTTGTACTGTAAAGGATGTCTTTTATATAAAGATGAAAGAAATTGTGATATGTAGCATTTACCTTCGGGAATTCATATCTACTTTGATTTTTTGAGAGATTTAACAAAACACTCCTAATTAGAAGAAATAAATTAAGAAATAAATACTGAAATTAATTATGTCAATTCATGAATATGAATAAATACATGAATACATTATTTGAAATGAAAATGTTGGACTTGCAAGCCCTTAAGAAATTCAGTGTAATGATGTCTAGTCATTTTTAGAGAAACCTGACCATATGTATGTGGATACTGTGACAGTGGCAAATGGCAGGTGTATATAGATCTAACAGGCCTGGAAACTTGTATTGTACAAGTGGTGAGCATAACAACTGTTTACAAGTACTTACTTTTCTTTTTAAGATGAAATTTGAGCTGTTCCATCTTTGTTTCTTCAACACTCCCTTTCCTTACAGAGCCAAGTTGAGATGGTTCCAATATTTCAAGATTATGACAACTGCCCTTGCTTGGCTTGCTACCATTGTTTGGTCTGAAAGAAGATTAATGATGCCACTTTGAAGGAGTATAACACCTTCAGGATCTTAATATAGAAAGAAAAAATCCTGGAAATTTTGGCACATTTCTTAATCACAGTTATATATAATGTACATCAGTTGAAAAAATTACCTTCCATAAACCCAGTCTCCAGTTTTAAATTCATTATTTGAACCATCACAAGTGAAGTTCACCAGTCTCCATTTCCATTATGAGAGTGACCAAAAAACTAGATGTTAAAAAAAATTATAATGCCCTAACCTTGAAATACTGTTCTTCCTAATCACAGCGCTATCCCTTCTCATGTTCACAATGGCTTTAGGAGTTCTGTAATATTATACAGTAAATGCAACACAAATGCTACAAAGAAATAATTTTTAATGATTCCAAAAATATGTATCTGAAAGATTGGTAGTTTTCCCCATTGAAAAGATTGAATCATTACAGTAATAAAATTAGTATATAAGGCTAGATTAAGAATGCAGTCCACTTTTGTGAACTGACCTGGCCTAGACTGGGTTAAACATTTGTTTATCTTTGATGAAAGTGTTAGCCAAAAAACAAATACAGTGCAATTACCTTCTTTTTCAGAATGATGTAGTTCAAATTGTGATCTGACCCCAGTAAAAGTCAGTTACTACACTCAGATGTTTATCCATGGTAAATGTTCAAATATTGTTTGTCATATAAGATTTCTAAGTGTACTGGTATATGTCAATATTATCTTGCCATAAATATATTTTCACTAATTTGATAAAATATTTATTTTAGGTATTTTTAAATACTTAAATTGTTTAAGTGTTAATTTTTTTTTAATATTTATATGGTAAAAAATACCAATCACATGATTGAATCAATGAAATGCAGATTAATCAGCTCTTTCCTCAATGCTTTGGTGGACAATTGGTATCATATAACAAGCGGAGCACAGGCCAGAGTGAACAACAAAGAATATGACTCTCAGTTTTCAATTCTGATCTGGCTTAGGCTAACACTAAACTGGATCGTTACATACATGATCCGGTCAGTGTTGAGTCCAAGTTCCTCAATTTTCCTCTCAATGCTGCTCATCAATTCACGGTTGGATAGAGAATACTCCAAGATAAAGGCTTCCAATACAAAAGCTACAAATATACTAAAAAGACACAGAAAAGCAAATGACAATAATTAAGAAACACATCGTTCATTATAGATTAATATACAAAAATCATATAAAGTAGTTTGAACAACAGAGAATTCAATAATCATATACTTTACAATTACATGAACATTATATTCTCATCTGTGCCACTTTAATATCATAGGAACATTTTAACTACATTTCAATCAAATTTCATAAATTGAGAATGCCTTTAACTCACTTCAGTATCATGATAACATTTATCATATGAAAAGCCAGGAAGTAAAGTCTTGCTGCTTTGCTTGTGACCTGAACATAGCCAGCCGTGATGACTTAAGTCAGTTAAAGTTATTTCTGCTTTGACATTTAATATATGAAAATACATCTACTAAGGACATTGGTCTTTTAAAAAAAATATATATATATATATATACATATTATTGTAATGAAGGAATACTATAGAATTAAAAGGAGAAAATAGAATAAGATAGAATAATAGTTTCTTATCTTTAAAAGAAATAAAATGAATAATTTTAAAATCAATTAAAAATGATTAAAAAAATTCAAAATCAAAGCAGAACAATGTTCCAAAAGGATACCATGCCACTGGTTTACCACTGTTAATTCAAACATCATAACCATTGCATGTAAGATGTCGTTGAAGTTGTTTTTACAATAGCGTAGTGCGTAAAAGTCAGAGCCATTCAACAAAGGGTTTCCACAGAACTGCTGGGATGGATCTGTTATGTTGTAAGATACTTTACCTTCAAACAATTCCATACCGATGATGGCAAAAAAATAGTAAAATATCTGAAAATAAATATTATGTTAATGTGTCATGTCTTACCTACTTATCAATTACAGAAAAGAATTATAATATTTATTAAAATAAGACAAAAAAATTAAAGAGCATCACTGCAAGGTCTTATATAAAACGGAAAAGTAGTTATAAGTGCTAAATCTAAACACTAAACAGATCACAAGTTAACTTACAAACATAATACCACCATATGTAAGTATGGAAGGACCTATGTTCATAACTGTAATGATGACAACTCTGAACCTACAGAAAACAAATGAAGTAAAGAAATGGTAACAGTTAAATTGTGGAGGTAACACCATAGCAATGGTTTGATTTCTGCTGGGAAAATTTGAAATATGCAAATCACTGGGAGTTATTGATGTACTGCACTTTAACTTTTTGGTTCCTTTTCAAATTACTGTGACATTCATCGACAAAAAGATAAAATATAAAACTTTGTACTGATATAAGACCAAAATAGATTTATTTATAATGTGTGACTGAATCACATGCCTGTTGCATATATTCTTGAATTACCAAGGAAAATTTATGGTATCAACAAAAGTCTGAAATATCCCTCTACACATAAATGAAAATAATGTATATTAGATAGTTGTTCAGTCTTAGAAAGCTCAGTAAATTGGTTTGAAAATCATGTAATTGACATCACAGCAGCATCAACCAATGTTGATCATCTTAATTTTACCTCTCAATGCCTTCCATGACCTTCATAAGTCTCAAGATTCGAAGGATCAGAACAAACTCCAGTGCTTTCCGAGAATCCTCTGTATCACCAACTTGGAAAAAAAACATGGTATTTATTTGTTTCAATAACTGCAGGTTCTACACAAACCATATACTGTCAAGATACGTAAATTTCACACAGAAAATGTGAAATATAAATGTGAAATATAAAATCTGTTATCTATTTAATTCTGCCTTATGTGTATCCATAATCATAGAGGATTCAGTAAGTTTCTCCTCAAACTTGTAAACATGCAGCAATCAAAGATACATACCTGCTTGTAATATGACATTAGTTAATCTTGTCACCAAAGCAGCATTGACAACTATAAAGTCAAAGCTGAAACAAACAATCAAACAAACAAATTAAATACAAAAATACAAAATTGTACATGCTGTTGTAGTGCCTAAAAACCAAATATTTCTTTTTTTTATAATCTTCCATATTAAAATTGTTTGTAAAATGAGTTGGAATAGAAACTTAATATCAAAATTCTGTTTTAGTTTTTGAATTCTCTCTATTAATACCTAAACACAATATAATCATTTATTATAATGAATAAAATAGATCATTCTAAGACTAGTAATAATATCTCACATATTCCAGAATCTGCTGAAGAATCGTCTACATCCAAAGACATAAAATTTCAGAATGATTTCCACTAAAAATATGACTAAAAATGTCCACTCCAAGGCATCAGAAATTACTGGAATTTTATCTTCAATAACCATCACCAAGGAATTCAGTATGATGATAACTCCAATGGCATTCCGGGAATATCTGGAAAGTGAGTTTAGTGCTCAAAATACAGTTTAAAAATAAAATTTGTTGCTAGATTTACAGAATGAGATTTTTAAGATTTGAGATTTTCAGTTTAAATCTAGAAAGCAAAGAATGCAAATATACAGACACTTAATAGGAAAAATTATAAACAAAAATATGGTTTGGCAGATCTGTTGGGCAATGATCACACACCAGTGACAGCACTGGCAATGATGAGGAAAGACATAAAGATCAGAATATATACAGACTATACTCTATACTACATACAGACTATACTCTGTATGTAAAAACCTAGCTATTACCACAAGAAAATTCTTGATAACATCAACGTCAGGTAAACAGTCAAGAACAATCCAACTGTGGGACCACGAGTTAAATAATATCAAAAACTTAAACCACTCCAGGTTCAAAAAAGCACTAACTTACGGATGTCTGATTATTTTCTGGACCAGTTTGCTGGGTTTGGAGAAGTAGCAACTAAAGCAATATCTTTCAAGCAACAATGATCTGTCTTTTATTTCTGACAGTTCTATATTCAGTATGTCTGCCACTTTCAGGAATTCACTCCTTCCTGTAAAATAAAATAGGACACAAAACCTGAACATAACTAGGAAATTCAGCTCTTCAAAATTCTAATATCAAGAGGGGAATATTGGTGTAATTTTTCCCAGAAACCGAAGGGGATTCAGGACCTGCCCCCCCCCCTAAATCTTCCACTAAATCACCACCAAATTTTGATCCATATCTTAATTAATAAATAAATTTATTAATAAATTAATCAACTAATTCATCAATTAATCACCATCAAATTCTACCCACCATAATCCCTCCACTTTTTATTAACAGACAAACGGACTTTAATTTAATAATAAACTAATAAACAAAATTCGCACACAAATTTTTGCATAATGTTACTGACAGACAAAAAGATATAAAATAAACTGATAATTAACCATAAATAAATTAATGGATCACCACCAAAACCTAAAAGTTTCTAACATGGTTGATTCCTGACAGTTTCTGAAAATTTCAGCAAAATGGACAACTGCAAACGGACATATAAATGGAACCAAATGCATAACCTTCTTGACAGAGGTAAATATATACATATGTAGCATGAAAAATGTTAATGTAACAATTTTGCTTTGCTTCAGTTTATGATCAAGCAAGAGCAAATGTTGATTAATAGCAGATGTTTTAAACATTTCTTTTTATGTTTATGATTCTGTCAGCCATATATTTGCCGAAGGTATTGCATTAGCTACAACTCATTTATTAGGTCTATTCACATTGGGCACAAGTTAAAAAGTGCTATAATCTATACATTTCCAGATACTAATACCTGGTCTCAATGAAATCACCACAAACACTGATGTCTTATTTGTTAATTATGGGACTTTTCACATCACATGTGCAGTAACAAAATTCTCTCTGCTTGCCTTTCCAGAGATAATCAATATGGGTTTTCGACTTTAAACAAGCTTAGACCACACCGATTTAATTTTATGGATGACATATCTGGGCACGCATCAAGCTTCGTCTGTTCTCAAAAGTAAAAAAAATCACCTCCTCGATTGGAACTCCTCGGAAGCATTCTTTTTCCTCTCACATTAGTTTCAGGGTCTCCAGAGGATGTCATCCATAATATTAAATCAGTGTAGCCTAAACAAACCTGTCATTTCTCTCACCTAGGCACATTTCCCCAGTTTCATCCAAGACATGCAGCAGAAGGTCTCTCTGCAGTTCACTTCTGTTTGGGGCTACAATCTTCATCAATTTATGCCATCTTGCTCTATTCACAATATACCTGGACTCTCTTTCCCTCCACACTTTAAGGATATCAAATGCCTTCATCAACCTTTTTCTCTTGTTTAGAACTGATTTTTTCACATCATTCTGCAACAAGTTTTGGACATTATAATAAGATAAGATTTCATCATTTAGAATAAACATTTTTTGATATGAAATACAAATGTACCCAGTATTTGGGAGTTGCATAAGAATATTAGGACAACACAGACGTGAAGAACTCCATACACAAGTTGGGTTATATAGCATATGGGCTCATCAATTCCATACTGGATAACAAATAACAAGAATGCCTAAACTCTTTCACTTAATTAGCCACACATCATTTAAGTGTATTTGATATTCTCTCATAATTCACATGTGCATATTTCACAAACAGCTCTCAACTCCCCATGTATATTGTATCTATTACACAATGTTTACATATATATATATATAGTACTGTCAATTTTTCTAGGTAAATCTTAATATTATCTCAAAATAAATCAAAGACTAGGAAATTTCTTTAGATTTCCAACTCTGACAACTCAAGTCTCCATATGATTTTCGAACAGTGAAGGGATACATTATTTTACAATACCTACTTCGTTCCAACAGTGGAGAGAAACATTACAATACTTACCTTAAGATTTTGCTTGTAGTTGTTGTAAATGACAGCCAATACAATACTGGCAAAAATATACAAGCAAATGAAAATGTAGCTGATGAAAAAGATGGCATACAATGAATTGGTGTCGTAGGCAGGCATCCTGAAAAGTAAAATAAATAATAAGCATATCATATCATATCATATCATATATATTTTTCTATAATTTCTTTGACCAAAATGTAAAATTTTTTTTAAATTGAAATGTCTATCAAAAAGCAACACTTTTTATAATATTGATAACTAAAGTTACATACAGGTACTTACATAACATCTGGGAAGTTTGCTGTAGTAACAAGCACATATAAGTCCCACATGCTATCAATGAAGTCAACAAAGTAGCCTGAGCCATCTGGGTAGGTCAACTTGCTGTATAAAACAAAGCAAGAAATCAATTTTTGAAATTTTGTCTTTTAATCTGCCTGTGGCAATACAAATATATATCCATGTAAAGGTATGTCTACCCCAATGACAAAAGACAACTACATTATGTTTCACAAAACTCACCTCTCAGAAAACATTTTAAATGCCAGTAGTGAAAACATGAAGACAACAAAAATAAAAACTGCCAGGACATTCAGTGTCTCAGAAAGAGTCCTTTTGATGTTTTCAAAGGCTTTCCTCACCTGTAATGAAAATACTTTATTTGAACAATGCCTTTTTTTAGATGAAGGAAAAACAGATGAAGCAGATGCTTTTCTGCCTAGGATAAGTTTTGGTCTCAATTTTTGCTTTCTAATAAATTTGTATGAATGCTGAAAATGATAATCAAATCAATTGACCAGACAATGATGTAAAATTGAATTTTTTTTTTCAAAGGGAAAAAATGCCACATTTTAAAATCTATACAGTAACATAGATTTTTTGGCACTTTACTTAGGAAATTCTAAATTATAAATGTGTAATTGTGTGTTCAGAACATGATAACTTCTACATACTGCATGCATCATGAGACACACACGCACACACACACACACACACACACACATTATAATTACATGTCTTCCAAATGCTGCCAAGAAAACTGGTCTAAGGGGGCGTGACCATCTGATAGCTTTGTGATTATCAAAAAACCCAAACTGGTTCCAGATAACATATATCACCATGTCAAGCCAGGTCAGCTAGAAAGAGAAGATTATTAAAATATTCACTGATTATTAAAATATTAGCTATCCGACCCCCCCCTCCACACCATAAAAAAAAAAAGAAAAATGAAAACATAAATAGATAAATAAGTAAGAGAAAAAATTGAAAGAAAGACGGAAATAATAATATCTTTCCTTCTTTTAGTAAAAATGGTAAAAAGTGCTTACTTCACTTATATAAATCACAATGTTTATAATGCAAGTAACTTAAAGTACAAACTATCTTAATTTTAAGAGCAAACACATCAAATATGTATATAAATTCAACACAGGACACCCACAGCGACTAGCATGAATACAATCAGGTATCTCTTGTTAGCCCATAGATTCTCATGCACATCAAAACGTTTGTGATGAAGAAAACGGCAAATGTAGGCGATGAGGCAAAGCATTTCTACTGCCATAGTGCACTAGAAAGAAATTAAAAAACATATTTGGAATGTGACATATAATTGATATACAAGCTTCCAGTCCACTAAATATTTTCTGAGCTAATTAATCTTACTAATTTTGATTCCTTATATACATAGTATATTTGACTATTATCATTTTGAAATGGTAGGTACAACTGTAACTTCAGGTTGATATAAAAAGTTAAAACTTTATCATTTAATTTTTTCATATCAATTCTTCAAAAAATGTTTTAATTTTTAAAAAGACCTCATAGATTTCCCTTTTTTCCTTCATTGTATTTCCACTTACCCAGTATGGTAAAACTAGTCCGTTTACTGCTGGTGCTTCAAACAGGGCAAGGGCAAGGTGAACCCAGATGAACATATACATTATCCACCGACAGACAGGTCTATGGTACAATCTGTAACTCCTTAAATAGAGAAATACAGTAAGGGATCTGAATGGAGGAATGCTATTGAGGGGGGGGGGGGGGGGCATACAAAAACTCTGGGTATGATTTGGTCAAGAGATTTGAGTGCAAACAAAAAACATTTAAATTGAAAGAATAAATAAATAAATAAGCTGAAAGAACATAATATGTGCCTCCATGCTCATCCTTTCCCATTTTTTTTTTACTTTTGAACATGCAGCAAACAACTTATTTATTTTCATGCACTGTACCTCCAAGTGTATTTTTCCAAAAAATAAAAAATAAAAATAAACCATTACAATTAAATATCTATAAATCTTGAAATATATGAATCTATGATAATCTTGATTTTAAAAAAAATAGTCCAAGACATACTTTACAGATTTATCATCCTCTCTAAAGTGCATATCTCTGCCACAAACTGCATCTTCTACATAAACTGCTGCCAGAAGTAGTTCCTGTTAAATACAGCATATTATTATTTACTGTAAAATATGGTAAAATAATTAAAAGTTCATAAGGAAACTTAATTGTGCATGTTAGCAAAGGCTGCAATTTAAAGTTGTCAAAAGATGTACAAGCAGATGATCATTTACATTATTTACAACAATATATGCTGAGGCTACAAAAAGAAGTGAATTTTTTTACAAAGTTTTTGCATAAACTTACATCATATTACAAATGCAATCAATTATAGTAATCCTCTTATATATATATATATATATATATATATCTTATCAATGCCTTATTAACATGTATGCTACAAATAAAAGATTTCATTGTGTATATTAGATATAACTTATTGTAAACCTGAGAAGCACACCATGTTCTGTACCTTACCTCATTTGTAAGCTCAGGATATGTGCTGGTGGTGGACACAACACTGTTAGTTCTTCTCAGTGGGGCAGGGAACCGTGAAAATGACCCAACTGAAGAGCTTCTATGCAATGCAGGTCTGACACCATTTGAAAAAATATCTAGATTGGAAGCTGATGAAAATCCATTTGGAAGGGATTTATGTATTTTAATATAGCCCCTTGGCATCTGAAATTAGTTGCAATGTTGAACTGTAATATAATTTTGTGACAGTCATTGAAAATTGAAGTATATGGTATCTGAAAAGATAAAGATACTACTTATGCATATACTTATACATTGTCAAGAGTTGAAAATTTGTTTGTCTCTCTTCAGTCAGGTCAAGGTGAAAAACAATTATTTTTAAGAGTCTAAAGGGCAAGTTAGTGTCTCCAGTCACCTCCTCCCTTCCCACACAACAAGTCTGAAGAAATTCACAATATGTAGGAATAGAAGTTAAAAAAAAAAAAAGAAAAAAGAAATGAGTCAGGGGACACAGCTGGCCACATAATTACCATTTTTATAAAGAGTTACTAAATATCTTTTTGCACATTCACAGACATGCTGAAGGAGGGGAAAATCTGGACCTCGCCCAATCTCCTACATATTCTAGTAATTAAAATTCTGGATCAGAAAAAGGAAGAATGCTTCCTAATTTGATACAATTATAAATGCCTTAAATGAGATTCGTAACTTAAGACTAAAATTAAGAATAATTTTGAATAAAAAAAATTAAAAAGCCAAACAGTAAACAAGAAAATTATTATTATTCCTTTTTCAATTTTTATTCTTAATCACAGATTTCTTACAGCAATTTTACTCACCTCATTTTCAGGACAATGGCCATATGTGTTTCGAATTAATCTGGATGGATCTTCATCTACCAAATCAAATGAAACAGATCTCTGCCTTGTTGGTAATTCACAACGCTGCTCCCCTTCTAGATCAATATCCACTTCTTGCACAAAAGCTAAATTGTTATATGGGGTGCAAAGTGATCGAGAGCGTGGTTTTGAAATTAGATCCAGACTCCATTCATTTGGCCTATTTCCCACTTCATTTGGATATGTTTGAATATTTTTTCTGTGGTCATCATCCATCATGTAATATGCTCCATTGCTTTTTCCATCTTTTACCAAAGATAATGGTAGATTTTCCTCCATGAAGTCAGTGTACTTCAATGCTCGCTGGATCTCAAAATGCTGTTGGTCTCCCATCTTTTCAGCACTGCCTTTTCCCAATACACCCCAACCATAAATCATGCTTTTAGGAGCAGTAAAAGAACTGGATGGGCTTCCCCATTCTTATCTCAGACATAATCTATCTCCCCTTAAACACCAATCAAAAAAATTACTTTTATGAACCCACTGTTTCATTTGAATTGAAGCACTCGTTTGCCATGTTCTTTTGTGTTGCTACATTTGAGTAATTATTTAAAATATGCTTTTTCTTCTTTTTCTAAGTTAAACTTATCTTAAAACATTGTGATTATGCTTCACCTGTTTCAAATTTAAAAAGGAAAATTAATTGGCATTTCAGTACATGGAATACAGAAAAATATTTCACTGACTTAATAATAAATAGACAATGATAAAATCCTGAAGTTCATCCAAGTGTCTGTTTTGCCCATCTACATGTACATAATGCCACAGCTCAAACCAGCATTATAGGGTATGGATGCATCTATAAGAAAAAAGTGAAAGCCATCAAAATAATGATGTCATTCCAACCAAAACTATTTGTTATACTGTATTATATTAAGATATACAACAAGTTTCTTCACCTATGGATCAATTCTTGGAAAAATTCAGTGTAAAAAAAAAAAAAAGACAACGTTAACAAGACACAGAAGTTATAATGCTCTACCCAGGCACTCAATGTATATAAGGCAAATAGATAAGTCTTTATTGTTTTCTACTTAAAAGTGGTGAAAAATATACTGCACCTTTTGATAACAGATAAAACAAAAACTTCCTGGTCCAGCAAGGTTCAGATATTTATAGTCACCGGTATTGGAGTCAAATTTTCTTCTTTAGCAGGAATATATCAAAAGATAATATAGGACTTGATAAATCTATGCATTTTGAAGGCAAAGCTTGCTATGGAGAGATGCACTGTAAATGGTGTTCAGTTAAGATCAAGAGATTTCATACAGACCCCGTTATATATATCAATTCTCCATTTCTGTGTTGCCAACCCTTTTCAATGTCAGCATTTTAATTAAAATGTGTGGAGAAGAGTAATTTACCACCAACTTTACATTAATTTTGGTGTTTTTGGATAATGTTTATGTTGTGCTTTATAAGTACATCAAATACAGATATGTTGAACTGGGGGCGTTCCGATGATCCAAAGCTTCACTGGTCCCAAAAATCATTTGTATCTGCCTCTGATGAACTTTACTTTATTGCCAGTAAACTATACACTTTATTCAGGCATTAATTTGGACTATCAGACCTTCTGACAAATGAACCTTCAGATTATTTATAGGGCCCCATTGAACCACTTAAGGTTTTATATGTTCTAATTAAGAGAAAACAAAGTATGCTTAATTCACTAGTAGTCAATAAGTTTTCATTTATGATAGATCCACATATTAGATTTACCTGTTGACTGTTTTCTCTGTTCACTCTGACAGACTTGGTCACAACTAAATTACCTGTTCAGGTGAAGGTGAACAGCTAAGTAATTACTTTAGTCTTGATGATGACTTGTTAGTGCCTCTGGCCCCCACCCCTGAGGGTGGGTTTGAGAATATCATCATACACATGAAGCAGTTTGTGTGCTCCTTCATTTCTCTTCATGGTGTGTTTTCCCTTCTTTTGACTAACAAGTCATCATCAAAACTGAGGTAATTACCTGTTGACCTTCACCTGAACAGGTAATTCAGTTGTGACCAAGTCTGTCAGAGTGAACAGAGAAAACAGCCAAAAGGTAAATTCATTATGTGCATGGATCTATTGTAAATGAAAACTTATTAACTATCGAAAAATGAGATCCAACAAAACTAATTTCACATTTATATTCACTATTGTTGTTAAGTGAAGTAAATCAAGTAAAGTGAAGTATTAACATTGTGAGGTTGATGAAGATTTGTGCTGTTCTTTATGTCTACAGGGCCCCGTATCTACAGTGTATTATATGGGACGAGTATAGGCGAGTAATGGAATCGAGACGCTTGCGCATGTGTGCAACATAGCAAAGCTTTCGAGATACGGGGCCCAGGTATATAAGGTTTTGCAGAAATACACATTTTATTCAAATTCTCATTTTATGTCATGTTCCACATACACGTAACTTTTGGTTTATTGATATATCACTTCTGAGTTATAAAAACAACACAAAACAACTTTTAAAAGCTTTAAATGCTTAAATTCCAAGCTTTCTAAAGTGATATTCTGGGAATTGAGATGCATTTACATGGACCACTTTTTGGTGGGTCTTAGTTTACAAAAATTTGTGAGTAAAAATGGTACTTGTTCAAAATGATGTCTCACACATAGTCTGTGAAAGGCAATGAATGTCATTCTAAAATGTCTGTAAATTCACAAGTAATACTTAATATATGAATTTGTGAGCACAATATTGATTAAGTGACTGGTATCAGTATATAAAAATGACCAAATGAATTTTTAAGTGTCTAAATGGACTGCATAAGAGTAAACTGTAAGAAAATGTCTTAAATGCAACTTCTGGGTGAGGTATTCATAGTGNATATATCTTATCAATGCCTTATTAACATGTATGCTACAAATAAAAGATTTCATTGTGTATATTAGATATAACTTATTGTAAACCTGAGAAGCACACCATGTTCTGTACCTTACCTCATTTGTAAGCTCAGGATATGTGCTGGTGGTGGACACAACACTGTTAGTTCTTCTCAGTGGGGCAGGGAACCGTGAAAATGACCCAACCGAAGAGCTTCTATGCAATGCAGGTCTGACACCATTTGAAAAAATATCTAGATTGGAAGCTGATGAAAATCCATTTGGAAGGGATTTATGTATTTTAATATAGCCCCTTGGCATCTGAAATTAGTTGCAATGTTGAATTGTAATATAATTTTGTGACAGTCATTGAAAATTGAAGTATATGGTATCTGAAAAGATAAAGATACTACTTATGCGTATACTTAAACATTGTCAAGAGTTGAAAATTTGTTTGTCTCTCTTCAGTCAGGTCAAGGTGAAAAACAATTATTTTTAAGAGTCTAAAGGGCAAGTTAGTGTCTCCAGTCACCTCCTCCCTTCCCACACAACAAGTCTGAAGAAATTCACAATATGTAGGAATAGAAGTTAAAAAAAAAAAAGAAAAAAAAAAGAAAAAAGAAATGAGTCAGGGGACACAGCTGGCCACATAATTACCATCTTTATAAAGTGTTACTAAATATCTTTTTGCACATTCACAGACATGCTGAAGGAGGGGAAAATCTGGACCTCGCCCAATCTCCTACATATTCTAGTAATTAAACTTCTGGATCAGAAAAAGGAAGAATGTTTCCTAATTTGATACAATTATAAATGCCTTAAATGAGATTCGTAACTTAAGACTAAAATTAAGAATAATTTTGAATAAAAAAAAAAATAATTAAAAAGCCAAACAGTAAACAAGAAAATTATTATTATTCCTTTTTCAATTTTTATTCTTACAGCAATTTTACTCACCTCATTTTCAGGACAATGGCCATATGTGTTTCGGATTAATCTGGATGGATCTTCATCTACCAAATCAAATGAAACGGATCTCTGCCTTGTTGGTAATTCACAACGCTGCTCCCCTTCTAGATCAATTTCCACTTCTTGCACAAAAGCTAAATTGTTATATGGGGTGCAAAGTGATCGAGATCGTGGTTTTGAAATTAGATCCAGACTCCATTCATTTGGCCTATTTCCCACTTCATGTGGATATGTTTGAATATTTTTTCTGTGATCATCATCCATCATGTAATATGCTCCATTGCTGTTTCCATCTTTTACCAAAGATAATGGTAGATTTTCCTCCATGAAGTCAGTGTATTTCAATGCTCGCTGGATCTCAAAATGCTGTTGGTCTCCCATCTTTTCAGCACTGCCTTTTCCCAATACACCCCAACCATAAATCATGCTTTTAGGAGCAGTAAAAGAACTGGATGGGCTTCACCATTCTTATCTCAGACATAATCTATCTCCCCTTAAACACCAGGCAAATCAAAAAAATTACTTTTATGACCCCACTGTTTCATTTGAATTGAAGCACTGGTTTGCCTTTTTATTTATTTTTTTTTTGTGTTGCTACATTTGAGTAATTATTTAAAATAAGCTTTTTCTTCTTTTTTTAAGTTAAACTTGTCTTAGAACATTGTGATTATGTTTAATCTGTTTCAAATTTCAAAAAAGAAAATTAATTGGCATTTCAGTACATGGAATACAGAAAAATATTTCACTGACTTAATAATAAATAGACAATGATAAAATCCTGAAGTTCATCCATGTGTCTGTTTTGCCCATCTACATGTACATAATGCCACAGCTCAAACCAGCATTATAGGGTATGGATGCATCTATAAGAAAAAAGTGAAAGCCATCAAAATAATGATGTCATTCCAACCAAAACTATTTGTTATACTGTATTATATTAAGATGTACAACAAGTTTCTTCACCTATGGATCAATTTTTGGAAAATTTCAGTGTAAAAAAAAAAAAAAAAAAAAAAAAAAAAAAAGTTAACAAGACACAGAAGTAATAATGCTCTACCCAGGCACTCAATGTATATAAGGCAAATAGATAAGTCTTTATTGTTTTCTACTTAAAATTGGTGAGAAATATACTGCACCCTTTGATAACAGATAAAACAAAAACTTCCTGGTCCAGCAAGGTTCAGATATTTATAGTCACTGGTATTGGAGTCAAATTTTCTTCTTTAGCAGGAATATATCAAGAGATAATATAGGACTTGATAAATCTATGCATTTTGAAGGCAAAGCTTGCTATGGAGAGATGCACTGTATATGGTGTTCAGTTATCAAGAGATTTCATACAGACCCCGTTATATATATCAATTCTCCATTTCTGTGTTGCCAACCCCTTTCAATGTCAGCATTTTAAAATGTGTGGAGAAGAGTAATTTACCACCAACTTTACATTAATTTTGGTGTTTTTTTTTATTATGTTTATGTTGTGCTTTATAAGTACATCAAATACATGCAGATATGTTGAACCGGGGGCATTCCGATGATCCAAAGCTTCATTGGTCCCAAATTGTATCTGCCTCTGTTGAACTTACTTTATTGCCAGTAAACTATACACTTTATTCAGGCATTGATTTGGACTATCAGACCTTCTGACAAATGAACCTTCGGATTATTGCTAGGGCCCCATTGAACCACTTAAGGTTTTATATGATCTAATTAAGAGAAAACAAAGTATGCTAAATTCACTAGAAGTCAATAAGTTTTCATTCATGATAGATCCACATATTAGATTTACCTGTTGACTGTTTTCTCTGTTCACTCTGACAGACTTGGTCACCACTAAATTACCTGTTCAGGTGAAGGTCAACAGCTAAGTAATTACTTTAGTCTTGATGATGACTTGTTAGTGCCTCTGGCCCCCACCCCTGAGGGTGGGTTTGAGAATATCATCATACACATGAAGCAGTTTGTGTGCTCCTTCATTTCTCTTCATGGTGTGTTTTTCCTTCTTTTGACTAACAAGTCATCATCAAAACTGAGGTAATTACCTGTTCACCTTCACCTGAACAGGTAATTCAGTTGTGACCAAGACTGTCAGAGTGAACAGAGAAAACAGCCAAAAGATAAATTCATTATGTGCATGGATCTATTGTAAATGAAAACTTATTAACTATCAAAAAATGAGATCAAACAAAACTAATTTCACATTCACATTCACTATTGTTGTTAAGTGAAGTATATCAAGTAAAGTGAAGTATTAACATTGTGAGGTTGATGATGATTTGTGCTGTTCTTTATGTCTACCGGTATATAAGGTTTTGCAGAAATACACATTTTATTCAAATTCTCATTTTATATCATGTTCCACATACACGTAACTTTTGGTTTATTGATAAATCACTTCTGAGTCATAAAAACAACACAAAACAACTTTTAAAAGCTGTAAATGCTTTAATTCCAAGCTTTCTAAAGTGATATTCTGGGAATTGAGATGCATTTACATGGACCACTTTTTGGTGGGTCTTAGTTTACAAAAATTTGTGAGTAAAAATGGTACTTGTTCAAAATGATGTCTCACACATAGTCTGTGAAAGGCAATGAATGTCATTCTAAAATGTCTGTAAATTCACAAGTAATACTTAATATATGAATTTGTGAGCACAATATTGATTAAGTGACTGGTATCAGTATATAAAAATGACCAAATGAATTTTTAAGTGTCTAAATGGACTGCATAAGAGTAAACTGGAAGAAAATGTCTTAAATGCAACTTCTGGGTGAGGTATTCATAGTGAAAAAAAATTAAACAACAGTTTCTAGACACAGCTGTGTTGGATGTGCAACTTCATATTGTTCAGGATCATCTTCAAAGTCACTGTCACTTAACTCTTTCTCAAACATGTTCATCAAAAGAACCTCCATCTTTTTGCGACCTGATGAGAGAGAGAAAGAATTTTTTTCACAGACTGATCAATTTCAAATTATATCAAGGCTGGCCATAAAAATATTTGTACTGTAAAGGATATCTTTTTAAAAATAAAATTGTCAAAATGGTAATAAGTAACATTTGCCTTCAGAAATTGATTTATAGGTACTTTTCCTGGCTATTTGACAAAACACTGCAATTGCTTATTATTAGAATTAGAATTACTAGTAAATCTCAAGGAATAAATAATAAATTTAACAGCAATCTAGTGAGACTCCCCAGGGGGATAGATCGGTCTAAATATCTGTGGGAATGGTCTATTAGAGACACCAGATAATATACTTTGGATACTGTGACAGAGGGATAAATGGTGGATCTACAGACTANATATAATATAATATAATATAATATAATATAATATAATATAATATAATATATCAGGCCAAATCAGCATCTATTCCAGTTGTGAACTTGCCTTAGCTTGACTATGTAGTTTTCTTTTTTTTTCATTTCATCTAAGTCAGACCAGAGTATTAAACACATAATAAATGTTTATTATCTTTCATGAAATAATTCAATGAAATAATTCAATGGCAAATAATGTCATAAAAAATGAAATGTTGTTATTAAATATTAATAATGAAAATTATGCACTCTATGTAAACTTGAAATATTCATGATTCTACCAATAATTCATTGAGATAAAATCCTTATTAAAGATGCCAAAATTTAAACTGTGTTTAAAATGTGTTTTAAATTCTACCTGATCTGGCCCAGGCAAAATGAAAACTAATCTAGTGAAGATCTGAATTCTGATCTGGCCTAGTCTAAGGCCTCATTCAGAATAGATTATCCAAGTACTAACTGATCCCCCAACTAAATATGGTGGTCTACCTGCCTCCACATGCGCCATCACTGCAGGGGCCTAGCAATTAAACCTCGGAGCAAGATTTAATCCATTTAATGACGTGTGGAGGTGGGGAGACAATCAGGAATCTCTTTTGAAGTGTGAACAGCCCTATTTAGTAGGTGAATCAGTTAGTACTCGGATCATCTATTCTGAATGGGGCATAATTCACACTGAACTGGATCATCACATACACAATGCGGTCTGTGTTAAGTCCAAGTTCCTCAATTTTCCTCTCAATATTGCAAATCAGTTCACGATTGGACAGAGAATACTCCAAGATAAAGGCTTCCAATACAAAAGCTACAAATATACTGAAAAGACACAGAAAAAGCAAAAGAAAATAATTAAGAAACACATCATCCATTTACAAAATAATCTACAAACATGTAATAAGTAGTATGACCAAAAGAATCAAAAGATCAACTAAAAATTACATTAACATTTTTTTTCATTTATGATAATTATTTAAATATTATTGCAATTTTTAAATTATACTTTAATGAAAAATAATATTTTATAAACTGAGAATGCCTTCAACTCACTTCAGAATCATGATAACATTTATCAAATGAAACGCAAAGAAATAAAGTCTTGCTGCTTTGCTTGTGACCTGAACATAGCCAGCCGTGATGACTTGAGTCAGTTAAAGTTATTTCTGCTTTGACATTAAATATATCAAAATTATCTACGGAAGACAATGGCTCCTTTTGTATTATTTTAATATTTAAAAGTAACCCTCATTTAAATATTTAAAAATTCATATTAAACTGTTATTGTGTACAGGGTATGTAGTATTGTGGTGAGAGGATATTCTAGAATTAAAAGAGAAAATAAAATAATTGTATCTATTTTTCAAAAGAAATAAAATAATTAATCAATAGAAAATGATAAAAAATTCAATATCCAAGTAAAACAGTCTTCCAAAAGGATACCATGCCACTGGTTTACAACTGTTAGTTCAAACATTATAATCATTGCATGTACGATGTCGTTGAAGTTGTTTTTACAATATTGTAGGATGTAGAAGTCAGTGCCATTCAACAAAGGGTTTCCACAGAACTGCTGGGATGGATCTGTTATGTTGTTGTATCCATGGAAAGAAACCTTACCTTCAAACAATTCCACACCGATGATTGCAAAAAAATAGTAAAATATCTGAAACAGATATTATGTCAATGTGTCAAGCCTTACTTACTTATCATAGAAAAGGAAAGAATTATAATATTTATTAAAACAAGAATTAAAAACTTAAAGGTATAATAACTCTTCGTTTTGGCCAAAAAATGAATTTTCCTGGAGTAAACAACAATTTTCCCATACTTACCAATGGTTAATGAATCCATTTTTACATTCAAAGTTAGTCCCTGGTTTTTTTCTAAAAAGTTTGTTTTTTTGTTAAAATCTCTTAAGAGATTATAACAGAGTACAGCCATCAATGGAGGTCACGTGATCTGTAGACAAGTTCAGATATCAGAATAATAGCTATAACTGCCGTTTTTGTGGTAAAACAGAATACATTATATTTCTATGAGTTGTTCACAATGTTTTTATTGTGAAATATAGATTTTGTACGAAGAGTTATTATCCCTTTAAGTAGTGTAAAGATGCTGAACCTAATTAACGAGAGTAGTCAACCCTCCAGGAACTATACAGATCACAAGTTTACTTACAAACATAATACCACCATATGTAAGTATGGAAGGACCTATGTTCATAACTGTAATGATGACAACTCTGAACCTACAGAAAACAAACGAAGTAAAGAAATAGTAAAAAATTGTAGAATTTAACACCATAGCAATTAAATGGCTTGTGCTGAGAAATTATTTCTTATGATTTTTTTCTTCATGTCAACTGGGGAATTATAAGGTATGGGAGTTATTGATTTTTTTTACTTTTTGGTGCCTTTATGTTTTAATGTATTTATAAACACACACACACATTTAATGAATATTTTAGTTGATACAACAATGAAAGCAATTTTTCACAAATACAAGACCAAATCATTTGCCTGATGAAAATAATATATTCTTGAATTATTAAGGAAAATAAATGATATTCAATAGATTAAAACACCCCTTTGCACATATAATGTAACTGGTATTGCACCAGCATCAACTTAAGTTGATCATCTTCATTTTACCTTTCAATGCCTTCCATGACCTTCATAAGTCTCAAGATTCGAAGGATCAGAATAAATTCCAGTGCTTTCTGAGAATCCCCTGTATCGCCCACTGAAAAAAAAAACCGATCTGCTTATCTGTTCCAAATAATTACAGGTTCTATACAAAATGTGTACTGTTAAGATATTTAAAATTCACAAGAAAAAAATGTAGAATGTAGAATCATTCTGTTTTCTATTCTGCCTTATGTGCACCCATAAATGTGTAGGATAATGTAACAGGATTCAGTAAGTTTCTGCTCAAACTTGTAAACATGCAGCAATCAAAGATACATACCTGTTTGTAATATGACATTAGTTAATCTTGCCACCAAAGCAGCACCGACAACTACAAAGTCAAAGCTGAAATGAAGGAAAATAAAATGTGCAAGCTTTTGTAGTGGCTCATAATCTTTATTTTCCATATTAAATAGCATCTTTAAACCATTAAAATATTGTTTCTCAAATAAGGTAAAATACAAACTTCTCAAAATATTTTATTTTTAAACTTCTCTATCAACTCTGAAAAACACATTATTTAAATTCATTATTCCCACACTACATCATGCACATCTGCGCATTAAAAAGTATCTATGAAAAAAATTATCAGGAAGATTACTTGCAATCACTTATAGGACCCAGGCATTGTCAAACATCTAGGGCATGCAGTCCCTGAGGGTGAGATACTCGTTTCAGTGTGAGGAAGTGCAGGGATATACAATGGCTATCCATCATCAGCATCTAGTTACTCATTTAAAAAAAGGTTTATTCTAAAACTGAGTACAAAATACTCACATATTCCAGAATCTGCTGAAGAATCTTCTACATCCAAAGACATAAAATTTCAGAATAATTTCCACTAAAAATATGCCTAAAAATGTCCACTCCAAGGCATCAGAAATTACTGGAATTTTATCTTCAATAACCATCACCAAGGAATTCAGTATGATAATAACTCCAATGGCATTCCGGGAATATCTGAAATGTAAGTTAAGTTCTCAAAATACAGTTAACAAATAACTAAACCATTCTGTTTTTATCTGCAAATCATTTTCAGAATGATATAATAAGTCTTTTGAATTAATTTTTAAACTAGCAGCAAAGACTGCAAATATACAGACGCTTGACAAAAAATGTCACGTCCACCGCTCCATTTCAACATGGACAGATACATTCCTAAAATTAAACATCAACTTTTGTAAAAATTTCTAAAGGAAACCAAATGAAATCACACACTGAAATCATACAAATATGAAATATAATTTTAACGAAAAATACACTGTTTTATATTGATGAGGTGACTGTCACCAAAATATATGCAAACAAAACAAAATAAGACAAACAAGACAAAAAAATCAATAAGGTCTGTAAAAGAAATCTGATCATGCTAATCTTTTAAAAGGAACCTGCCTTTTTACCAAACAAAGCCACTCAATAAATTCAAAGCAAAACTGGTTGGGCAGTGTCAAGATAAACAACAGATATACGTCAAACAGTGCCGAACCACAAATGACAGGCAGACATAGTGATCATAATACATACCCATATATATACAGATACAGCATCTGTAAAACCATTTACAAGAAAAGTGGTGCCATAAATAATACATTTATCTCATTAGATACTATATGAACAATCCAAATACTTTACTGTTCTCAGGGTCATGGGTTTCTTCTTCAAAAATAATATCAAAAACATTTAATTAACATCTCCAAGATGAAAAAAAAAACAGCTAACTTACGGGTGTCTGATTATTTTCTGGACCAGTTTGCTGGGTTTGGAGAAGTAGCATCTAAAGCAATATCTTTCAAGCAACAATGATCTGTCTTTAATTTCTGACAGTTCTATATTCAGTATGTCTGCCACTTTCAAGAATTCGCTCCTTCCTTTAAAATAAAACAGGATAGAAAATCTTAACATAAATATAGCA